CTTTGGTTTGGTCATCTGTGGGGATTTTTCAATGTCATCTTGTTGGTTGTCAGGAAGATGTCAGAAATATATGCCTTATACAACTTGCAAATATCTTTATTTCTGGAAAGATAAGTTTAGGTTTAACTTGGAGAATAAAGTTTATATTAAGAAAGAACCTACATATATAACATCAGAACTTTTTTATGGCTAAATGAAATAACTTTGACTCTTTTCTAATGCTTAAGTTTATTATTTCTAAACATCCTTTCCTAATTGCATTAATAGCACCATGTAATAATTTTGATACTAATATGTCTGCTAACAGTAGATACTCAGTAAATAAGAAAATTTTCTATGATTCAAAGTCTTTTGTATTTATGTAATACCTACATGCTTATAATGGACTGTGTATTTGCTTTTGTCTTATATCTTTAAAAACCCTAAAAGGCATTATCCTAGTGCCATTAGCTATAGCACTTAAGGTTTGGGTTTTTTTTTATCATAGAGTTAAAATGCAATTTCGTGCAATGTATCTTGTGTATTTACAAACGAATCTCACACAGTTTCTGTCTATAATGGGTGAAGGTGACATTAGGCTGATCTGATTCACCCAAGGCTGTGCTAATAGTTTACAAATGGCTAATAGTTTACAAATGACTAGTTAATACTAGTGATAATGACTAACATTTTATATAGCACTTTTAGGTTTTCATCGAAGTGTTTTTTTCACAACAGCCCTTTGAGGAAAGTAAAAGTGTTTTTCCCTTTTAAAGATAAGAAAACTAGGGCTTGAAGAGGTTAAATAGAAAGACAACATAGTAAAATGGACAGAATAGTAGATTTGTTTTTTTGTTGTTTTGTTAGGTTTTTTTGGTGAGGCAATCGGGGTTAAGTAACTTGCCCAGGGTCACACAGCTAGTGAGAGTCAAATGTCTAGTCTGAGGCTGGATTTGAACTCAGGTCTTCTTGACTCTAAGTCTGGTGCTCTATCCACTGCACCTCCTCGCTGTCCCAGAGTAGTGGATTTAGAATTGGATAGATACCTTGAGTTCTAATCCTGGTTCCTTTTTTAATTTAATTTAATTTTTTAAATTTTTAGGCAGTTAGGGGTTAAGTGACTCCCCGAGGGTCACACAGCTAGTAAGTGTCAAGTATTTGATCTGAGACCGGATTTGAGCTCAGGTCCTCCTGATTTTAGGTCCAGTGAGTGCTCTATCCACTATGCTACCTGGCTGCCCCTAATCCTGGTTCTTTCACTTTAATAACTGTGTGACATTGAAAAAGTCATTTAATTTAAGTTCTCTAGGCCTCAGAACCAAATTATTCCATAGTGTTGCTTTGGGATATGTTCATCTCAGTATAGCCATAAACAATATGAGACTTATGGACTCTGGGTTTGAATCCCTGTCTTTGAGATTTGTTATCATGAGTCTATGGGCGAGTCACTTAGTATGAGCTGCAATTTCCTTATATGTTAAATGGGGGTATTAATGTCAGCAGTATTTACCTCATGGGGTTATTAAAATCAAATGAGGCAATATGTGTAAAATTCTTTGCGAACTTAAAAGTGCAATGTAAATGTGGCTTAGCTGGCTTCCTTTAAGACTATTTGCATCCCACCTTTTATGAGCTATGCTTTTCTATGTCTTCTCTTTAAGATTACCTTCCAGTTATACTGGATATACCTTGTATATAAATAGTTGTTTGCACGCTGTCTCCTCCACTAAAATGTGAGCCCCAGAGAGTAGGGACTCTATTTTTGCCTTTTGTATCTCTAGTGCTTAGCATAGTGCCTGGCACATAGTGAGTATGTAATAAAACCTTATTAATGATGATGAGTAGTCATTTCAATGACATGAAGTATTCCATTGTTAATTTAAAGTTGTATTTTTCCTTTTTGTGGATCAAAAAATAATAGTTAAGCAAATATTAACTGAACACATTTAGTAAATGTAAAGATATTTTCAGTATAAATTCAGTTCAAGCATTTATTAAGCAGTTACTATGTCAGGCACTGTGCTAGAGACTGGGAAGACAAGGGTACATTTAAGCAGTTCTTGTCTTCAAATGATGTTTTATTTGTATCATACCACTATAAGAAAATACAAATTTTTTGCAAAATAACTTTTTTTTATTTCATTGCTTTCCTTTTTTTTTTAAATTAGTTTTCAACAATCACTTCCATAAGCTTTTGAGTTTAAAGTTTCTCCCCCCTCCCTTCTTGCTTTCCTCCCCAAGACTGCATGCAATATAGGCTGATATAGGCTCTCTATATAGATTCCTATCAAACATATTTTCATATTGGTCATGTTGTAAAGAAGAATTAGAACCAATAGGAGGAACCACAAAAAAGAAGAAACAAAACAAAACAGAAGGAAAGAAAAGAGCAAATAGTATGCTTCAGTCTACATTCAAACTCCATAGTTGTTTCTTTGGATGTGGGTAGCATTTTTCATCGTGAGACTTTTGGAGATGTCGTAGATCCTTGCATTGCTGAGAAGAGCTAAGTCTATCAAAGTTAGTCATCACACAACATGGCTGTTATTGTGTAGAAGGTTCTCCTGGTTCTGCTCACTTCACTCAGTATCAGTCCCTACAAGTCTTTCCAGGTTTTTCTGAAGTCTGCTTGCTCATCATTTCTTACAGCACAATAGTATTCCATTACATTCATAAACCACAAGTTGTTCAGCCATTCCCCAATTGATGGGCATCCTCTCAATTTCCAGTTCTTTGTCACCACAGAAAGAGCTGTATGAGTATTTTTATACATGTGGGTCTTTTTCCCATTTTTATGATCTCTTTGGGATACAGCTCTAGAAATACTATTGCTGGGTCAAAGGGCATGCACATTTTTATAGCCCTTTAGGCATATTTCCAAATTGCTCTCCAGAATGGTTAGATCATTTCACAACTCCACCAACAATGCATTAATGTTCCAATTTTCCCACATCTTCTCCAACATTTATCATTTTCTCGTTTTGTCATGTTGGCCAATCTGATAGGTGTGATGTGCTACCTCAGAGTTGTTTTGATTTGCATTTCTCTAATCAATAGTGATTTTTAGCATTTTTTCATATGACTGTAGATGGCTTTAATTTCTTCTTCTGAAAACTTCGGGTTCATATCCTTTGACAATTTATCAATTGGGGCATGACTTGTAATAAATAATAAACATTTATTAAGCACCTACTGTGTGTGTTCTGTATTTATTCTAGAAATGAGGCCCTTAGCAGAGACACTCGTTGTAAAAATTCTTTCCCAGTTTTCTGCTTCCCTCCTAATCCTGGTTGCATTGGCTTTGTTTGTGAAAAAACTTTTCAATTTAATATAATCAAAATCATCCATTTTATATTTCGTAATGTTCTTTATCTCTTGTTTGGTCATAAATTCTTCTGTTCTTCATAAATCTGACAGGTAAACTATTCCTTGCTCTCCCAGTTTGGTTATAGTATCAGCCTTTATATCTAAATCATGAACCCATTTTGACTTTATTTTGATATATGGTGTAAGATTTTGGTCTATGCCTAGTTTCTGCCATACTCTTTTCCAGTTTTTCCAGCAGTTTTTATCAAATAGTGAGTTCTTATCCTCAAAGCTGGGGTCTTTGCGTTTATCAAATAGTAGATGACTGTAGTCATTGACTACTGTGTCTTGTGTACCTAACCTATTCCACTGATCACCACTCTGTTTCTTAGCCAGTACCAAGTAGTTTTGATGATTGCTGATTTATGATACAATTTAAGATTTGGAATGGCTAGGCTGCCTTCCCCAGCATTTCTTTTCATTAGTTCCATTGTTATTCTGGACCTTTTGTTCTTTTCAAATGAATCTGGTTATTATTTTTTCTAGGTCTATAAAATAATTTTTTGGTAGTTCAATTGGTATGGCACTGAATAAGCAAATTAATTTAGGTAGAATTATTATATTAGCTTGGCTGACCCATGAGCAACTGATATTTTTCCAGTTATGTATATCTGACTTTATTTGTATGAAAAGTGTTTTGCAATTGTGTTCACGTAGTTTCTGAGTTTTTTTCGGCAGGTAGACTCCTAAATATTTTATAATATCTACAGTAACTTTAAATGGAATTTCTCTTTCCATGTCTTGCTGTTGGGCTTTGTTGGTGATATATAGAAATGTTCTAATCAGATGATCATGTGGTTTCTTTTAGTTTTGTTGTTGATATGATCGATTATACTGATAGATTTCCTAATATTGAACCAGCCCGACATTCCTGGTATAAATCTTACCTGGTCATAGCATATTATTCTCGTGCTAGGTTGCTGTAATCTGTTTGCTAATATTTTATTTAAATTTTTTGCATCTGTATTCATTAGGTAAATTGGTCTATAATTTTCTTTGTTTTGACTCTTCCCGGTTTAGGTATCAGCACCATATGCAAAATAATTGGTGATGGAAGGCTGTTTGTTCACAATAGAATGGGGCTCTAGAGACCACAATGGAAGGGAAGAGTGAGAGATAGATACTGGTGGGATGGAGCTAATGTGGGTAGTTGTGAAGCAGGAGAAGTTGTAGTGAGGAAAGGGAGCTTCTTTCAAGACAGCCAGTGACTCAGTTCATGGGATCTTGAATGGTGAGTGAGGGAAGGGAGGGTTGGGAGATATGTGGCTGCAGAAAAAATGTCCAGTCCCTGTATTTTCCCAATTATCAAGGCTGAACTCAATGGAATACTGGATTTAGGCTGATTATAGTGGGGTAAGGTATCTTGGAAGTATTTACCTTTTATTGGGCCAGCTCTACCTTAATCTCGCTGTGGTGCTGAATAGAGTATCTCTCCAAGGGCAGGGCTGAAGGACCACTGAGGAGGAGCCACTGAGGAGTGGGAGGATCTGCTGAGCAGAAATACAGCCCCTTTACTTACGTTATGGTCAGGACAGGGGTAGTGGGTCTGAGGCCAGGCTGATTATTAGAGGGGTAAAGCTTTTTTGAGATACTAAGTGCCTTATGAAAATTATTTATGATAATAAAGCCTCTGTTTTCTTTCTTGATTCTTATAGAATCTTTTAGAAGACCCATATCCATTGGTCCGGTCAACAGGAATTCTTGGTGTTTGTAAAATAACTTCAAAATACTGGGAAATGATGCCTCCAGTCATACTTACTGACCTTCTAAAGAAAGTAATTGGAGACCTAGCTTTTGATACAAGCTCAGCTGATGTTCGCTGCTCTGTTTTTAAGGTAATATTTTTGAAAGCAAAACCATCATTATTAAATTAATTTAATTCCCCCTCCTCATATTTATTTTAAACAGGGCAGTCTTACCATTCTAATTTCATAATACTTCAGTACTTGAAAAGATCCATTATTTTATCATTGTGAGAACTCCTCTTAACCTTGTAGATCATAAACTTCCCATGCCTTAGATTTCATGACTTATGGTAATCAAAAAACATCAATCACCTTATGGGCAACTCGTTGATGAAGAGCCTTTTTGAATTTGGCTTTTACTAAGATGACAGGCATTTTCATTTGAGATCTCTTCCCATCTGAAAAATTAAGGAGTTGGACAATCCTTTCTAGCTCTAAATCTATGATCTGATGATCCTGTGCTCTGTTTAAATGGAATATTTCCAGTCTGTAGGACATTGCCATAACCTTCAAAAATCACAATTATAGGGATGTGTAGAAGAATTAGGGAGTGTAGAAATAATGTCTTTTTTATTCGAAGAAGATATTATTGATGTCAATTGAACATATACCAGGGAGCTGTACTTTGTTGCCTAAAACAGTGTCTTGCAGTAAATATTTTATTATTTCATTGCTTGACTTTTGAATGGTACTTTCTTCCTAAACTAATAAGTTCACATTTTGCAAGATGACCATTAGTAGAATCTTGACTTTTCTTAATTAATTTGAATTAAGTATCATGAAGATTAGCCAGGTTTCTTCAATCTTTGGTAGTAAGTACAGGGAGAAAAATGCAGACATGTTACGAATAAAGATATATACTGAATAGTAGAAATTTTGAAGTGTTGCTGGAAGAGACATTGGTATGTGAGGAAGTAGTTGAAGTTCTCCATCAGCTATTTTTTGTTTCATCATATATCACCCTGAAAATTTTTTATACCTGTCAGAGTTCCCAAAGTGGGTGATGCTGCCCCCTGGGGGGCACTAGAACAATGCGGTAGGGTTGTAGTAGCCTCGGGTGTAATTGGGTGCCATTGAATAAAAATAAGGGGGTGGTGGAAGCATAAGGAAAGAAGAGAAGATAAGAAAATTTTGAAAAAACATTCCTACATGTTTCATTTGTTGTGTGACAAGAGTTAAAGTTGTAGTGATTATATTTTCCAAATAAACACACAAAATGCAAGTTATAACCAATCAGTCGTCTGCTGATGGATCTTAACAAGCAAGTGTTGGCAGGCAAGCATGTCGAGCATTGTCAGGAAGTCCAGCATACATTGTCACGGATATGTGCATGTAATGATTTATTTACAATACGATATATACAGTTACATGACACAATATTGCATCTTCAAAATTTCAATGCAGGGGGAAAAAACACAAATTTGCAATAAATATTTAAATTTAAAATGCATTGTTTGTGAAAAGAATTTTTTTTTGAAATGATGCAAATTTAAAAAAACCAAAACGTTAAAGGATTAAAGATTTCCAGGAAAGTGCTGTGTAATTCTATTTTTTGAAAAGGAGGTGGTAGTGGCAGCTAGGTGGCACAATAGATAGAGCTCTGGCCTTGGAGTCAGGAGGACCTGAGTTCAAATCTGCCCTCAGACACATGACACTTACTAGCTGTGTGACTCTGGGCAAGTCACTTAACCCCAATTGCCAAACTAAATAAATAATTAATTAATTTTAAAAAAGAGAAAGAAAGAAAAGGAGGTGGTAGGCCTCTGATGCCTATTGTAAAAGACAATCTACCCAGAAGGGACAAAAATATAATTTTATTCCCTGACCTTTTGAGTATTTTTAAAACTTTCTTAAAAGTTTTTTTTCCCCTATTTTGCTAATGGGTGCATGAGGCAGGTCATGACTGGTATGCCAGAGTACTCAGGTCTCGCTTTTATTTTAACTATAAAAATAAACATTTATGTTTATTTAAAAAAAGTTTTATTCAGCTTTATTTTAGTGATTTATATGTTAAATGAGTATCTGCTTACTACATTTTCAGGTGACACAAGACTGGTAAAAATAGTTGATTTGTTGGATAACAGAATCAGAGTTTAAAATGGTCTCACTGGGGTGGAACAATCATTTGAATCTGACAAAATCAGATTTAATAGATTATAAAATTAAAGTTCTTCACTTAGATTGAAATAAATAGCTAGTTGCATAAGTTTAGGAATGACATTGTTATGGAGATATTAGTATGCAGTAATTCATGTGAGAACAATCTGGGAGTTTTAGTGGACTGCAAGCTCAATGCTAATGGACACTGAAATGAAGCCACCAAAAAAAAAATTCTATTTTTGATGTGATACTACATTAACTGAAGTGTATTGTCTAGAACAAGGAACATAATTATCACATTTTCCTCTTTGCTAGAAATGAAAAACATTGATTTCAGTTCTATATGTTGCATTTTAAGAAGGCTTTTACAGACTACATTCAGATGAAGGTGACTGGGATGGTGAAGGTCCTTGAAACCATGGTATTTTCCTAATTGTGGAAGTGTTGAATGTGTTTACAGAAGAAAACTTAGGTGATTTTATAGCTATTTTCAAATCATAGAAGGATCACTTTGTGGAAAAGATGGCATATTTGTGTGTGGCTTCAGAGAGTACACTAAGACCAATAATTGGAAGTTACGAGGAAATAGATTTTGTTAAACTGAAGAAAACCATGAGGATTAAAACCTATATGAAAATGTCATGGGCTGTCTTTTGAAGTTTTAGAACTGAAGGGATCTTAGAGAACCTCCACCCATATCTCTGATTTTCAGATGAGAAAACTGAGGTTATTACCTATCCAGAGTTACAAGATATTAAGTTCTCAGTCAGCAGAAGCCACAAAGCAGAGGCTGGATATTGTAGAAGATGAGATTAAATGACATCTAAGATTCTTTCCAAGTCTAGGATTCTGTATATCTGTAATTTAATTTAATAATTCTAATAATAATCCTAATTTTTTTCTTATTTGGCCTTCTTGTAGTTTTCTTTTATGAAGTTCATTTTGTTGTTGTTTTGTTGCAGTGTTTGCCGATAATTTTGGACAACAGACTAAGCCACCCATTACTAGAGCAGCTTCTGCCAACTCTAAAATACAGTCTCCATGACAATTCTGAAAAAGTGAGAGTAGCTTTTGTTGATCTGCTGCTGAAAATTAAAGCTGTCAGAGCCGCAAAGGTAGGATAACTATAACTTGCTTAAGATAATTCAGAAGATAAATTTGTTATGAGACTTATCAATATTTCATTAAACAAAAAAGTCAAAGGAACTTCAAGTAATAGGTTAGTACTCCTAGTCCAAATATTTAGCTACTCTTTCAGTTTAAACAGGTGAACACTATGTGTTTGGCCAATTATTTTGTATCATCTTGGAGCTCTGGGAGAATGTTTGAATCCACTTTTTTGATGGTTCTAGAGAGATTGTGAATGAACTTTCAGTTCATTTAAGTAAACATTTATTAATTACCTACTACTACATATAAGGCACTGAGCTTGGTTCTGAAGATTGAGATAGGATTTGGGACCTGTGATTTCATTAGTATAGGGTACTCCCAGGTAAGTAAACTTTTTCTGCAACTTAGAGTCTTAGAGCAGAGGTATCAGACTCCTGGCAGCATGCAGGCCTCTAACACTCCAGAGTGTGGCCTAAACCAGATTAAAATGTAGCTCAGAAATACTTAAAACAAATAAGGATACAATAAAATATAGTAATTGTGGTTTTCTAGGTCAGTGTGCTCCAACAGGGATCCTCTATTTGAGTTTGATGCCACTGGTCTCAGAGAGTTTCAGAGATCAAGGTACTTGTCCAGGGTCACACAGTTTTTATGTATCAGAGGGAGACTGGAACCTAAGTCATCCTGGCTTTAAGGCCAGCTCCCTTTCCATTATGCCATACTCTCATGCTGGGGGTAAGAAGACAAAAATGAAACAAGTCCCTCTCCTCAAAGGAAGTGGGGGACAATTAACTATAGTACAAGGAAAATTGAAGAGGAAGAGAATACTCACAACTGTGGCAATCAGGCAAGACTGAGATAAAATATAGCGCTTCAACTGAGCTTTGAAGGTATATTCTATGCGAATATACCTAATAAAGCTCCTGTCTTTATCATGGCAGATGTAACACTTTAAATATCAGCTTTACAAATTTAGTAACTTTTAATTTATGGTTTTAAATCATTGACTGGTCCAAGGAAAGGGAAACTTTGTTTAACTTGATATCTTAAAATAAATATACCTCAATTATTTATAGACTATGTGGTGTTTGATTAATTTTGAATTTTAAACAAGCTTAAAAGCAATGAGACCAAAATTGAAATTGTAGCTAATTAGCAGGTATAGCTGTTATCAGATCTTTGAATTAGCAGTATACTAAACAGCAGAGCAATTCTCTAGGGATTTGTAGCTACATAGGATATTTTAGGCTTTATAAATAGTGAAATAACATAAAATTCAGAGCAATAATTTTTTTCCTTCTACTTCCCCAGACACTTTTTAGAGTGATAAGGGACCTCAGCAGCATTCTGGTCCAATCTGTAACTGAACAAGAATTTCCTCTAACATATTCTTGGCAATTCTTCATTCAGTCTTTACTTAAAGAGGCTGAGTGAAAGGAAACTCACTGTATCCCAAGGCAGCCTGTTTATTTTGGAAGACTCTAATTATTAGGAATTTTTCCTTACATTCTGTGCTTTTGAAACTTCCACTCACTGCTCCTAGTTATACTCCAGAATCATTTGTAAAGGAGGAAGAATTAGAGAAACTTGATAATAATATTTTGGAATATGTAGATACTGTAAAATTTAACATACTTATATATTGACTCTAATAAAGCATTTGTTTTAATAGCCTCTCCAACAAGGTGTCTACCATGAATAAGTGAAAATCATAAGAAACTTTAAAAGCTGTAACAAGAGATAACTGATGACTTTCATCATTAATGTAAAAAGAAGCAAGAAACAAGGAATTGTAAAGTTGATAAACATCCTGGTGCTGTCATATACGGTTCAAAGTCCCAAATTGAAGGGGAATTCCATATAGATGGTGAAGTCTTCTAGATGCAATGCTTCATGGATGATATTGTACTTGATTGCATCAAGACATGAGGGGGGAAAAAAGGTAGAGTTTCCTAAATAGTCAGTTTAAATTGTTTGGCTTGAATGGCCATTCAGGAAAAAGCAAAAGGATGATGAAGGCCCATTGTTCAACCTCTGTTTTTCAGGTAAATTGATATTCTTTAGAGTTCTTCCATCAATATATCTCTGTCAGGGAACAATCATAAATGGCTGTGAGCTTAGCCTGGAGATGAGACATAATTAGGGGAGCAGGCTGGATTGCCATTGGGAAATGGTGCATTCCTTTGAGAAACACCAAGTTTCTCCTGGCAACAAAAGTCCATCTTTTTAACACCATTATCTAGTTATGTTGTAATGGATCTGAGTCAAGGAACACAGTTGCCAAAGAATTGAAGTTCGTGATCATCCAAAGGGCAATGAAAGGTACATGGTGGGTGTAGACAGGCCCCAAAATGCCCTGTCTCCTTGTTTTGCAATTCAGTTAAGTGTTTGGTTGAAGTATTTTCTGAACCTCACTTTGGCAACTCTTCTATATTGATTAAGTAGTTTGCTTGTCTATAAAATGAGGGTATTGGTCTAGATGGACCTATGAGTTCCTTCCAGCTATGAAATTGTCTAAAAAGTGGTAATTATATTATTTTTAAATGCCTTTAACTTTTCCCATTTCCTGTTTTTCAAAGTTAAATTGTTTAAATAGATTCATTAGAGCTATTAGGATTATAGGTGGTGTTTCTTTATCTTCTGTTCAGGAAGAAGTGTTTTAGAGAAGCATGCCCGACTTCGGGTTGATTAGTAAGATTTGAGTTTGAATTTTGTCTGAGACATTTAATAGGGCTATGAGGCTGGGCAAGTCACTTAATTTTGCTTAGTTTAAGTTTCCTTCTAGGTAAAATTAGGATAGTAATAACACCTGCCTCATTGGGCTTTTAGATTAAAATGATATAATGTGCATTTATAAGTGCCTCCTGTGTGCCAATCACTCTGCTAACTGCAGGGATATAAATACAAAAAATAAAAATAATCTCTGGAGCTTACAGTCTAATGGGAGAAGACAGCATACAAAAAGAAACTAAAAAGTGGGGTAGAAGGTTAGGGAGGTACCTGATACAAGGGCATGGTACCATGGAAAAGTCAGAGAAGTTCCAAAATAGTGCAGCCAAGTGAGAAATACTAAGTTCGAGCTGAATTTCCTCCTTAAATGGAGCTTTTGAAGATGGTGACTCTACCCTATAATCAGAGGCACTAAGGGTATTAATGAGGTGGAGTGCCAAGGCCCTGGAAAGGTTTTCCCAAGAACAAGCTTCCTGGGTGATGGTGAATTTGTCAGAAAATACCCAAGGTAATGTAGCTAGATGAGAAATGAGAATATGTCCTTGTGGAGTAAAGACACCTGGGTTCAAATCGTACTCACTATTTGTGTGATTGGGCATGTCCCTTGATCTCTCGGCCTTTGGTTTCCTCATCTTAAAAGAGTCTAGTCATAAATGTAATACAGTCTCACAATGTTGTAAAGACCAAGTAAGAATTTATGTAAAGTGCTTTAAATTTATGTAAAGTGATATAAATGTCAACTATTATTGTCAGTCTCATCTAACTTGCCTAAGCTATTGAAAATCCACTGAGGTTTTTAATTTTAAGAAATAAATTTTTGATGATTCTGCTTCTGGTAAATTACTTAGAACATGCACTCTTTATATGACCAGGGGAATTTACAAACCCAAATTTGTATGACAATTGTAGTCTCTAGCTTTAAATTTTCAGTTGTTGGGGAAAGGTAGCTTTTAGGAGATAAAGAATTGTAAAATTAATTACACTGCTTCCCCCTGCTGGTTTAAGTACATTAAGATTTTTTTTCTTGAAGATTCATCTTAATTTTTAGCCACCTTAAACATTAGGAAATAAGTGAGACTATGATAATAATATAAGATGCATACAAAATATTGTGACTTGACTGTCCATCCCCCCTAACCTCCAAGCTAATAGAATATTTAGAAATTGTTTTCTGTGTTAATAGGCTATTGCAGAGTATCATGTTTTAAAGTTGTAAAAGTATAAAGAGAAAGGCCATTACATAAAAAACATCATCATCATTATTACTATATAAGAACACTATATAAAAGACACAAAATGCTATGCTAACTTAACAAATAAAAATTGGCATAATATATAGTTATATTACTTAGTGTTTTAAGATGGTGATTATGAAAACTGTTGTTCTGATAATTTCAAATGAAGTAATTTCTTAGGAAAAGTACATAAACAATATTCATAATTACAGTTAAGATTTTTATAATGCTATAGGAACTGATCTAAACCTTCCATCTTTATAGAATGATAAACTGGTTTCTTTTTTAAGTTTTGGAAAATTTGCAGTATGGATCATCTTTTGACCCGTCTGGAAATTGATTCACGCCCTGTGTCTCAGCGCCTAGTGCACCTTCTTTTTAATTCTTTCTTGCCTGTTAATCAACCAGAGGATGTATGGTGTGAACGCTGTGTCACATTGATACAGATGAATCCTGCTGCAGCCAGAAAGTTTTATAAGTATGCTCATGAACACACTGCTGCCACTAACATAGGTAAGTGACACATACTTCTTTATCCTGCAAATTTTATTTTATCTCATCTCATAAGTTAAAGAATAATTAATGCTGTGCATTTTTCAGTGATTTTCATTCAGTATTCGAATGAAGAAGGGAAATAGTGTTGAAAAGTGGGAAAAGAGCTGGTCTTGGAGCCAGAAAGACCTGAGTATATAACTCTGGGCAAGCAATTTGACTTCTTAGAGTCTTAGTTTCTTTATCTGTAGAATGGGAATAATATTTATATTACCTACCTCCAAGAATTGTTTTGGGAAAGCTTTATGCAGAGTTTTAAATTACTGCAGAAATGAGAGGTGGTGGTGAGTGCTAATCAGGTGCTTCCCTATGATCCCATCTTAAGATGAATTCTAACCAATTCAGATTAGATTTCATTCTCAGAATCTCTTTTGGACAGAGGTGTGTATATCAATCACATTGCCTGTCTTTGTAATTACAGCGAAGTTAATTCATGTTGTTCGTCACTGCTTAAGTGCCTGTATCCAGAAGGCAATAAGAGAGTATCAGGAAGAGGATGAAGAAGTGGAAAAAGAGAACATAACTGTAAGTATATTAGAATCTTAGCCTAGCTGCTAAATGTAACTACTGTTTTTTAGTGCCCTTTACATGGACACTATGTAGAAAATTGAAAGTTCATATGAATGTTTTCTGTTGGTGCCATATTTTTTAGAGAAAGGCAGGAATTGAAGATATGATGTCATTCTTGACATGTGGTTTTTTTCTTTCACCTTTGCTTCTCTGTTGTTAACCTTTCTTCTATTTAATCAGTCAGTGAGCAAGCATTTGTTAGGTGCCTACTGTGTGGTTGCCAGACACTGAACATACAAAGAAAAATGAAAAAAAAATCCCTTACTTGAAGGAACTTATATTTGATCAGGAGAGTAAATGTACACACACACACACACACACACACACACAAAATAAGTAGGCAGGAAATTTTTTTGTAAGGCATCAGCATTTGGAGGGATTAGGAAAGGCTTTGTGTAGTAGATGTCGCCTGAACAGAGTTTAAAGGAAACATGGACTTCTAAGATAATATTGAGATAGGCATTCATTCCAGGCAGAACCAGGTGCAATTAGTGCAAAGGCACAGAGATGAGAGATGGGAGTATCATTTATGAGGAAGATCAAGAGGCCCAATTTGGGTAGACTGGACGGTGTTTGTGTCAGTCAGCAGGTATTTACTAAACAGGTGGTATGTACTACTAGACATTGTACTAAGTCTTGGGGATACAAATACAAAGAATGAAGCAATCTTTTCACAAGGAACTTACATTCTATTGAGGGAAGAAATAAGGATTTATATAAGTATGTACAGAATACATGTAAAGAAAATTAATACAAATAAATACAAAATAGTTAAATATCAGGAAGCTTGAGATAGAGGACACTTACAACAATTAAGGAGATCAGGAAACCCTCTCCTTGTATAACCTTCCCTATTTTTGTCAAAAGCACTACCATTCTTCTAGTCTCCCAAATTGATAACCTTAGTGAGGTTGGCTCTTCATTCTTCCCTCACCTCACATACCCAGCCAGTTTTTCCATCTTGCCATTTTTACCTTCACAATATTTCTGGTATCTTATATCATTCATCTCCTTAGTTCAGGTCCTCATTAACCCTTACCTAGATTATGGAAGTAGCTACCTAATTGGCCTTCCTGCCTCGAGGCTCTCTCCGCTCCAGTCCATTCTACACTCTGCTGCCAAAGTGGCTTACTTTAAGAACAGATTGATCGAGTGACTCCACTATTTAACGTTCCAGCTAGATGATGCCAAGAGCACTAGAAGACCTGAGTTTAAAACTCATCTAAGACAATAGCTGTATGATCTTGGGCAAGTTACTTAACTCAGTTTCTTCATCTGTAAAATGGGGATAATAGTAGTATCAAACTCACAGGGTTGTTGTGAGGAACAAATGATATAACATTTGTACAGTGCTTTGTAAACCTTAAAGCACTATGTAAATGTAGTTGTTTTTATTAAAATCAAATATAAAACTCTTGGTGTGAGGGCTTTTAAAGCCCTATATCACCTGGCCCAACCTTTTCCTACAGTCTCAGTGGATATTATTCCCCTTCCTATGCTTCTGTAATTTAGCCAGATTTACCTTTTCTTTATTCTCACAAAGGACATCACTTCTCTAACCATATGAGTCACCTGCTGTCAACTCTAGTGCCTCCTTATTGCCTCTAGAACCATGTATAAACTCTCCTGTTTAGCTTTTAAAGCTCTTCATAACCTTACTACAGCCTGTTTAGCCTTCTTGTACCCGTTTCCCTTTCTCATGCTCAGTAATGTGGTCAGAGTGGTTTTATTTTTGTCCTGACACAGGATCCTCTATCTTCTCTCTCTTTCCCTTTGCATTGACTGTCCTCCATACCTGGAATGCATTAACTCTTCCCTTCCACCTCACAGAATCAAACAACAAGCAGTTATTAAGCACATACTATGTACCAGGGAATACAAATAATGAAACTATCCTTTTTCACAAAGAGCTCACATTCTAGCATAATTCCCTCAACACCTGCAGCCTCTTCACCCAAGCATAGGCTGCTGTGGTCTACTATGGCCTTCTCACCCATGAATCCTTGCATAGCTTGCCCCTCCTCCCATTGGTGAGATCCTCCTGTAGCCTTCATTTTATGGAGGGGCCAGCCTTCCTTCACTTTTCCCCTGATGTGTTCCTGATTTTCTCTGAACTTAAAAACCATGCCCCTATCCCAGGGACCTTTATTCTCTGCCTTCACCTCTTTCTACTCCTTTTTTTGTTTGGTTTTTGTTTGTTGTTTTCTCCAGTAGAGTGTAAATTCCTTGAGATTAGTTTTTGCTTGTTTTTGCTCGTATTTGCTCGTATTAGTGTCCCCAGTATTTAGCATAGTTCCTGACATATAGTAAATGCTTAATCAATGGGTTTTTTTCCGTCCTTCCTTAACGGAAGCAACAGCAAGTACTTGGAAAAATGTTTATAGCAGAAATATAAAATGAATAAGTAAAATTATAACCTAAGTAGTTACATATAAGGTAGTTTGGGAGCAAGAGTACTGACAGATAGGGGAATCGAGAAAGGATTCATGCAGAAAACAGGGCCTGAGCTTCATCTTAAAGTAAGAGAGAGACTCAATAAAGTAGAGGTGAGAGGTGAGCGCATTCCAGGTTTGGGGGACAACAATAAATATTTAATGAGTTGTGTTGAATTTTTAAAAAATGCATTCTGGAACATATATTTATCAGGCAATCGTATTTTTGTCTCTAATCAGTAAAATAATGTTTAATAGGCATTTGTGGTATTGGGTTATGTTTTTATTTTATTCCTTTAACTGACATTCTTGTTAGAGACTATAGAGAGCAAGATGACGTTATGAACCATAGTGTTAATTCCTGTGGGACATAGGCTGATTTGTGGGGTTTAGACATAACACCATATGAAGAGATATAGCTACTCTTGATAACACAAAATGTAAAGATGGTAGCATTGGTTCTCTAAATTCTTTAAGTAAAATGGTGTGTTAGGTACTAAAATTAAATATATGTGGCTTAGTTCATTATTCAAGTTTAAAATCCTGGTAACTAAAATTTCACCAATACAGAAGTATCTGTGTAATTAAAATAAGTAAAATATTGCTTTTTGCATTTTTAAAAGCTTTATGTAATTGAGGACAAATTCTCCATGATCAGTAATTAATAGAGTAGCCCAATTCATAATTAAAAGCTTCTAGGGAAACTGTTCCCTTATATAATCACAGGGTTTTTTTATACTATCTTGGCTTTTTGTGTATGCATTTTAAGACAGATTAAATTTTAAATATATGAAATTTCATAATCCTACATTTGAATATATTACAATTAAAATTTATAAATTTATTAAGTTTGTAATGAACATAAATACATTATAAGGCAGTATAGTAAAAATAAAGGTAAGTTTTTGCTCTCATGACATTTTCATTTTCCTGAAATTTGGAGAAGGAAATGATTCAAATTCAGTTTTTTCCCCCTCATTTTTATAAAGGTTTTAGCATTACTCTGCAGTTTATAGTATGATTTTTAAAAATCTTGTACTCAGTGTTGGAATTCTTGAAAACAGAATAGCTTCACAAATTTTTGAGATAACATCTTGCTGGAAGGGTAGATGGTAGGCTAGGCGACTTCTTAAGGAATCTATTAGCTGTATGATTCTAAAATTTATTTTTAAGTGTTAGAGGCTCTCTTTTTTATTTTACTTTTCCATAATACAATTATTTTCTCTTTAGGTGCTGGAGAATACATTGTCAATGAATGACATACCTTCTATGGCAGGTTTATTGGAAGTCATTGTAATTTTATGGAAAAGCATTTGTAAAACTTTGGAACATAATAAAGAAGCAAAAGCTTACACCATTAGCAAGTTTGCTTCTGTGCTTCCAGAGTACCTTAAGCACTTTACAGTGAGTATAAAGTTAAGCTTCATAATTGATATATTGAACATGATATATTGAAATAGCTGAGTGTCTTCAGAAGTGTAACCAGAATGGTGAATGCCCTGAAAAACAGTTGAAAGAACTGGAAATGTTTGGCCTGGGACAGAGAAGACTTAGGGCTGGACATGCTAGCTATTTTAAACTATCTAAAGATATACCATGTGGAAATTAGATCAGACTTTTTCTGCGTGGCCCTAGAATAGAAGTAATAGTAATTAGTTAAAAATTCAGAGGCAGATTTATAGTAAAGGTGAGAAAAAACTTTGAAATACTTTATGTATATCCAGAAGTGAAATGGCTGTTGAAGAACTAGGTTACCCCTTACATTCCTCCTTTACTTCTTTAAGTAAAGGATGGATGAACACCTGTTGCCTATGTTATTGAAGGGATTCTTGTTGAGGAATAAGTTGGACTAAATAGCTGCTGAAGTCCTTTTCAGTGAATGACATTCATCAATTATAAAATTGCTTTTGGGAAAAGGGCATTTTAGTGTGTTAAATATTACCTGTAATGCTACTTTTTAGATCATATTATACCATGTCAATTCCTTGCAAAAGTTAATGGTAACTCTTTCTTTGGATAAGAAAGGTTTCAGCATTATATGTTTTTCTTTAATGTAACATTTTTTACTCTTATTCCTAGGATGATCGTTGCAAGATTCCATTATTTATGTTACTGTCTTTTATGCCAGCATCTGCAGTACCCCCATTCAGGTAGTATGTGAATTTTTTAAGTGGGGGGATTTGAGAGATGACCTTTTCATTCCTTTACTTTATTTGTTTGATTATTTAGAAGGCTGAACTTAATTATTTTAAGTTAAATTAAAATAGCCTAATAAATATTAAAGGGAACTAGGACATTTAACCTATTATCTGCTCTTATCTGCATTTTTACCCGTGAAAGGAGGTGGAGAGAATGTTATCTTGCAGAACACCTTGATTTTTACAGAAAAGAGAAGGAACTACATAGAGCTCAAGTCATAATTTTCAGACCTGCTTTTTTGATACTTATTTCAAGTGGTGGTGACAAATTCACAAAGCATAATTAATTTTATTTACTTTAATCTATAAGGAAAAGCAGAGATAGTATCATAGAATTAAGTGTACATATGTTTTAAATTCTGTGATTCTTTTGTTATATTTGTGTGTGTGTGTGTGTGTGTGTGTGTGTGTGTGTGTTTGTTTGTGTGTATCTTCTATTAAAGTTCCAAGGCCTCATGGTATTGTGAAGATAATCCATGGATCTTGAAAGCTGTGCCAGTGGAATACAAGCTCCATTAGGTGCTACCGAACTAAAAGACTGTGTGTCTCAGTGATAGAACATTTATATGTCATCCACGGATTACTTTAACCAAGTTTAGACAGGTTAATTACTAGAAAGTTAGTTAATAGCTAGTGAATTTTTTTCAGCCCTAATCATAAAAATTTAATTAAATGTGTAATGTATGTGCTCATACATATGTATATATAAGCATACATATAGATATTTATGAAAATGTATATGCATATAACTGTGTGTATGTATATGGATTTATATAGACATACATATAGACTTTTTTAATTAGGTATTTTATTTTTTCCCCAGTTACATGTAAAAAACAATTTTTAACATTCGTTTTTAAAACTTTGAGTTCCAAATTCTCTATCTTCCTCCCTCCCTACCCCCCACTCCCCATTGAGAAGGCAAGCAATTAGATGTAGGTTATACATGTATAGTCATGCAAAACACTTCCATGACAGTCACGTTGTGAAAGACTATCCCACCCCCACCCCCATTTATTCTATTCTCTCTTTCATCCTGTCCCTCCTCAAAAGTGTTTGCCTCTGATTACCCCCTCCCCCAATCTGAACTCCCTTCTATTGCTCACCCTTCTCTTCCCCTTCCTCCTTACTTTCCTGTAGGGTAAGATAGATTTCTATACACAACTGAGTATGTATGTTATTCCCTCTTTAAGCCAATTCTGATGAGAGTAAGGTTCAAGTACTCCCTGCCACTGCGCCTGTCTTCCCCTCCACTGAAATAGCTTTCTTCCCTCTTTTATGTGAGATAATTTTCCCCATTCTACTTTTCCATTTCCTTTTCTACCAGTGCATTCTACTTTTGCACCCCTCAATTTTATTTTTAAAGATATCATCCTATCATATTCAACTCAGTTCCTCTTACCTCTCTCCTCTTCCCCTCCACTGTAAAAACTTTTTCCTACCTCTTTTATGTGAGATAATTTACCACATTCTGCTTCTCCCTTTCTCTTTCTCCCAGTACTTTCCCCTCTCACGCCTTAATTTTATTTTTTAGATATTATCACCTTCATATTCAACTCACCCCTGTCTATATATACTCATTCTAGCTACCCTAATAATGAGAAAGGTCTTATGAGTTATAGATATCATCTTTCCATGTAGGAGTGTAAACAGTTTAACTTTAATAGGACCCTTATGATTTCTTTTTCCTGTTTACCCTTTCATGCTTCTCTTGAATCTTGTATTTTAAAGTCAAATTTTCTATTTAGCTCCAATTTTTTTTTTTGGCTAGGCAATGGGTGACTTGCCTAGAGTCACACAGCTAGTAAGTGTTATGTGTCTGAGGCTGGATTTGAACTCAGGTCCTCCTGACTCCAAAGCCAGAGCTCTATCCACTGTGCCACCTAACTGCCCCAAGCTCCGATCTTTTCTTAAGAATATATGAAATGCTCTATCTCATTGAATGTCAATTTTTCTCCCTCCTGAATTATACTCAGTTGGTTTTTTTTTTAATTTTTAATTAATTTATTTTGGATTATTAACAATCATTTCCATAAGCTTTTGAGTTTTAAATTTTTCTCCTCCTATCTCTCCAAGACAGTGTGCAATCTGATATAGGCTGCATACATATATATTCCTATTAAACATATTTTTCACATTTGTGATGTTGTAGGTAAGAATTAGAACCAATAGGAGGAACCACCAGAAAAAGGAAACAAAACACAACAGAAGAAAAAAAAATAGCAAATAGTATGCTTTGATCTGCATTCAAACTGCATAGTTCTTCCTTTGGATGTGGATAGCATTTTCCACAATGAGGCACTTTGGAGATGTCTTAGATCCTTGTGTTGCTGAGAAGGGTTAAGTCTATCAATATTAGTCATTGCACATTGTGGCTGTTACTGTGTACAACGTTCTCCTGGTTATGTTCATTTCACTCAGCATCTGAGCGTATGAGTCTTTCCAGGTTTTTCTGAAGTCATCCTGTTCATCATTTCTTATGGCACAATAGTATTCCATTACATTCATATACTACAACTTGCTCAGCCATTCCCCAGTTGACAGCATCCTCTCAATTTCCAATTCTTTGCCACCACAAAAAGAGCTGCTATGAATATTTTTGTACATGTGGGTCCTTTTCCCATTTGTATGATCTCTCTGGGATATAGCCCTAGAAGTGCTATTGCTGAGTCAAAGGGTATGCACATTTTTATAGCCCTTTGAATATAGTTCCAAATTGCTCTCCAAAGTGGTTGGATCATTTCAGAACTCCACCAACAATGCATTAGTGTTCCAATTTTCCCACATCTTCTCCAGCATTTATCATTTTCCTGTTTTGTCATGTTGGCCAATTTGATAGGTATGATGTGGTACCTCAGATTTGTTTTGATTTGCATTTCTCTAATCAATAGTGATTTAGAGCATTTTTTCATATCACTACAGATGGCTTTAATTTCTTCATCTGAGAACTGCCTGTTCATATCCTTTGACCATTTATCAATTAGGGAATGACTTATATTCTTATAAATTAGACTTAGTTCTCTATATATTTTAGAAATGAGGCTCTTATCAGAGACTGGTTGTAAAAATTCTTTCCCAATTTTCTACCTTCCTTCTAATCTTGGTTGCATTGGCTTTGTTTGTGCAAAAACTTTTCAATTTAAATGTAATCAAAGTTATCCATTTTGCTTTTCAGTTATACTGTTTTGCTGGGTAGGTGATTCTAGCTCTTTTGCCTTCCAGAATATCATATTCCAAGCATTCCAGTCCTTTAATTTAGAAGCTGCTAAACTGTTATCCTGATTGTGTTTCCATAATGCTTGAGTTGTTTCTTTCTAGCTGTTTGCAATATTTTCTCCTTGACCTGGGAACTCTGGAATTTGGCTGTAACATTCCTGGGAGTTTTCAATTTGGGATCTCTTTCAGGAGGAATTTGGTAGATTCTTTCAATTTCTATTTTATTGTACTTTGCTTTAAAATTTTATTTATTTATTTTTAGTTTTCAACATTCACTTCCATAAGATCAATTTCTGTTTTACCCTCTGGTTCTAGAATATTAGGGCATTTTTCCTTGATAATTTCTTGAAAAATGATGTCTAGATTCTTTTTTTGACCATGGTTTTCACGTAGTCCAATAATTTTTAAAATATCTTTCCTGGATCTATTTTCCAGGTCAGTTGTTTTTCCACTGAGATATTTCACATTGTCTTATTTTTTTCATTCTTTTGGTTTTGTTTTATAATTTCTTGATTTCTCAGAGTTATTAGCTTCTATTTGCTGCAGTCTAATTTTTAAGGCACTATTTTCTGCAGTGAGCTTTTGGACCTCCTTTTCCATTTGCCCAATTCTGCTTTTTAAAACATTCTTCTCATAGGCTTTTTGGACCTCTTTTGCTATTTGGTCTAGTCTATTTCTTAAGGTGTTATTTTCTTCAGTATTTTTTTGGGTTTCCTTTAGCAAGCTGTTGACTTATTTTTCATGATTTTCTTGCATCACTCTCATTTCTCTTCCCAGTTTTTCCTCTGCTTCTCTTATTTGATTTTCAAAATCCATTTGATTTCAAAATCTCTGGCCTGAGACCAATTCATATTTTTCTTGGAGGCTTTGGATGTAGGAGCTTTGACTTTGTTGTCGTCTTCTGAGTGTATGTTTTGATTTTCCTTGTAACCAAAGTAAGTTTCTATAGTCTGAGTTTTTTTCTGTTATTTGCTCATTTTCCCAGCCAATTGCTTGACTTTTTAACTCTTTGTTAAGGTAGGGCTCTGCTTCACACGTGGAGGGCATACTGTCCCAAACTTCAGAGGTTTTATGCAGCGTTTTTCAGCGATACTTCTAGGGACCTGAAAGGTTTCATTTCTTCCAAGGTGATATAATCTAAGGAGAGGTGTCTACTCCTTTTCTGGCCTGTGCTCCAGTCTGTGAGTGACTACAAGCACTCTTTTCTGCCCTGGAACTGTGAGAAGGGTACCTCTGCACTGCTGCCATGAGCTCCGCTATGTTAGTGCTCCTTCTTGCCCCAAGTGCTGCCACCTAGCACTGTGACCGAGATCTAAGTATGGGCAAAGCAATGAAATCCTACCTCACTGCCAGCAAAGGGACCTCTGCAATCTCCTTTTGATCAGTTGTTCAATCCCATTACTGTCTGTGGGCTGAGAGCTCTGGAAGCAGCTGCTGCCACTGCCACCCCAGGGCTATCGATTAGCTACAAAAAATCTATTTTTTTTTTTGCTGAAAAATGTCCCAGGCAAGAGATTATATACTTAATTTGTAGGTGATTTTTTGAACATTTAGAAAATTAGAGTAAAACTTATTTATAGGCTTACCGTACCTGTGTTAATTGCTATAAGATGTGACTGTAGATGAAACAACAATAAAGGAATGCGGGGTAGTGTATGTCATATGAACAATGTTAGAAGCCAAAGATGTGGCCCTTGGTAGGTTTGGATGGCAATGGTAGATAGGTAGAGTTGACTTAGAATGTGTAAATAGTCTTAGGCTGAGAATAGCTAAAAGGATTGGCATTGAGAGGCAAGTACCTAGGGAGAGAGATGCCTGAAGTGGCCATGGGTATAGGGCATGGGTGGGGAACCTGAGGCCTGGAGGCCACATGTGGCCTTTTGACTTTGGGTGCAGCCTTTTGACTGAGTCCAAGTTTTACAGAACAGATCTTTTTATTAAGGGGATTTGTTCTGTGAAGTTTAGATTCAATCAAAGGGCCACACTTGAGGACCTAGAGGGCCACATGTGACCTCCAGGCTGCAGGTTCCCCACTGCTGTATAGGCTTTAGTAGAGTAATTGGTTTCCAGTAATTGGATAACATGAACGTCAGCTGGGATATGTGTTATAATGCACTAATGACTTTCTTGTGAGACACTGTTGGTCCGCTAATACCTGTACTATAAAGCTATAAATATTTAAGAATGTATGTTTAAAATGTTTCATAAATACACACAAAAGTCTCAAAAAATATATAATTATTCCTTTTAAATGGTTATGTTAGTGAAAGCCAAAATATTTAGTTTTTAACATAAGATTCTCAAAAACTTTTAAATGAATATTAGAAAATAAGCTTCTATAAAGAAAGAAAACCTCAAAATAGTTTGTCTACCTATTTTTGTTCAGTCGTTTTTCAGTTGTCTCCAACTCTTCATGACCCCATTTGGGGTTTTCTTGGCAGAGTTACTGGAGTGGTTTTTCATTTCCTTCTTCAGCTCGTTTTACAGATGAGGAAACTCAGGCAAACAGAGTTAAGTGACTTGCTCAGGATCACACAGCTAGTAAATGTGTCAGGCTGTATTTGAACTCATGAAAATGAATCTTCCTGATTCCAAGGCCAGTGCTCTCTCTCCACTGTGCCACCTTTTAACTGCATGAAAATCAATTACTATAAATTCTTCTGAGGGTAAGGTTTTGAGGACCATTCCCTGAAAATGTTAAAAAAAATTATACTCAGATATATCTATAATCTTTTATTTGTAATATATTCAAGCAGTTTTTTTGCCTTGAAAAAAATTTGAAAACAAATACTATCATATGAACTCATGTACCAAGAATTGAAGGATCTGGGTATTTTTCATATTTTAGAAACAGTGAATTTCTTTTACCATCTTAAATGGATATTTAAATTTTTGTAATTTTTAGCTGTGGTGTGATCTCTACATTGAGGAATCAAGAAGAGGAATCTACAGAAAACAAGTATCACTCCTAATAGATTGTCTTTGTTCATGGGGACAAGTGGGACATATCTTTGAGCTTATTTGTGATTGGTTGCCAGATGGAGAATCCAAAAAGAAAGTATGTGAATTTTTGAATTCTAAACATTTATTTAATAGTATGTTTATGTAGTAATTTGTTGCATGAAGATGCTCTTAATTAGAAATTATTTGTCTTGTTTTCACCATTTATTGTAATATTTAGTGTCTCCTTTCCTTTTATTCAGAATAAGGCAGCTTCTAAACGTCAAGTACGAATTCAGGATTCACATCGGCAAAGCCTGAATTGGCATTGGATTACCTAGAGTACTTATTGCTTCACAATAAGAATCGAGATTTCCTGTTATCTCTCCCTGAAAAGAGACTAAATAGTCTTTTGAAAGCCCTTGAAACTTCAAAGGTAATTTTTCGTGATGGAAATACCAAATGTTGATTAAGACTAGATACTGTTAGAATGTTCAGATTTCACATACTTATATATTATCAGTAAAATATTAGATCTTGAAATGCCCATAAACTTTGTCTAGTCCAGTTACCTCATTTTACAGATGAGGAACTTTTGGTCCAGAAACTTGTGACTGGCCCTTGGGCATATGCTAGTGTATGGCAAAACCTAGACAAGAACCTTAGTCTTCTGAGCATCTTGGTTAAAATGGATTGGGAAGACAAGGTTAATGTGAAAAAACTATTGGCCAATGCAAGTGATACTACAATTATTAAAGTTAAATTATATGATACATTTCATACATATATTATGAGTTTGAGATGGACCAAATCAGAAATGGGTTAGAATACCTGGGGAAGCCTTGAACTAATCATTAGATGATGGGGAGGATATAGGGGGGAGATGAAGGATATTCCAAGTAGGACTAATAGCTTGAATACTGATAGAAACTGACATGACATGCATCTGAGTATTAAGGAAACTAAACTCAGTAGAATGGAGTATTCATGGTGGAGAATGCTAAGTACTGGAGTTTCATCTTTTTTATTTGAAGATTGATTTAAAAGGTTTTTGGTTCCTGCTGTTGCATACCTCATCTTGGCTCTGCTGCCAAAATAAGGAATCAAGATTATTAATGGAAATTGTACTAAACACAAACACAATTAATTCTTCCCTTTCTTAAGGAGAATGATGAAAAGGAGGGGCTGAAAACAGAGAGCATATGTCAGAAAAGTACATCTTCTTGTGTTGCAAAGGTTTTAAGGAATTAAAAAAGTAGTAGCCAACATCAAAAAACAAGATACCATTTTGTTCTTCAGGGCTGATGGAAACTTTTTTAAAAGTCCCTTAGCAACTTTTATTTTTTCCTAAAATGTGTAGTGAGGAACAGTAGTACAACTTTTTTCACTGTTTATTGTTCAGGAATAGACTACTGGATATAGTGCTATGTTTACGTTGCTCAATGGGCAGCTAATCAGTTAAATGAAAGAGTCAAGAAATATTTGAGTTTTGTGTGCAAATATCTGCCATTCACTTTTGGATGTCAAAAGTTTAATTATACTCCCTACTCTCATGGAACTTACTACAAGAGGAGCTAACCATTCACTAGGAATGAGGGAGGGGCCACGTTATGACACATAGACACATAATAAACATGTATGGCAAACAAAGAACTTTGTGAAATCTAGCCAGGGGAGATTAGTTTTTCCTGAATAGATAAAGGAAAACTCATGAAGGAGTTGACACTTGAATAAACAAGGCCTGAAAGGATGAATAGGAGATGAAAAGGAAGAAAAAGATCTTTTCATATATAAATAAGGAATGTTGTGAACAAAGGCATGGAAGTCAGAAAGATCCAGGATTCTTCCAGAGACATATTTGTTCACATTAGTCAGTATGGAGTATGTGGAGGAAGAGCAGTAAATGAGATTAGCCTAAAAAAGTAGAGTATTACCATATTGTGAAGGGTCTTAAATGCCTGGAAAAGGAGTTGAAACTGAGTGGTAGGTGATAGGGTTAATCCTATAGGGTTAAAAAATATTTTCCCCCATCATTTTTTAATTCTGAACTTAAACATCAACAAGGTACTTCCATATATATAGTAGGACAGAAAGATAGAAAATATATATGAAACTGATTTTCTGTTTTGTAGTTTTAAAAAATACACCATCAACCCAATATGTAGTTTGTTTTTGTTCTTATATCCTCATAGTCTAGCACAATGTCAGTAGTAGGTGTTTAATAAATGCTTACTGATTGATTAGTACTTTGTAATCATAACTTGTGTTTTTGTGGTGTTTTTTACTTATCAAAGCTTATTCACATCTGTTGTTTAATTATATCTAATATTTATTTATTGATTTCTATCATCTAAGTTTCTGTTTTCTGACCTGGCTTTTTTTGGATATTCTTATATCTAATGGCCCATTCTATATACTTGTCAGCTGTTCTAGTAGTAGTAGTAGGCATTAAAATTTTTTTTCTTTTGATTATTTTTTCATCCTAGCCTTTTTAGATTTTTCTTTTTACATTATTGTGGTACCTTATTTCAAAAGCCATTATCTTATATACTTATTGAATTAATAGTGTTATTACGGAATTGGTATGACAAGACCTTTGTATTATCCTCTAAGGCAGCATATCTTCATCCTTGTGTTCCAGAAATTATATCCAAATATACTTATTTTATTTCATTCTCATTCTAAATCTACAAAGAGCTGGACTTAAAATTCACAAGGCTAAATATAACTAAATCCAAGGTAACTTTTTGATTGCAGCACTGGAACTTCAATATCTGATCTTCTTAGATTAGTGAGGTTATATATCTTTCGAGAATATGAGCCTTAAATTTTTTGTCACTTAATCATTTGCCATCATGTTACAGAAAGATATTCTATCAGTTATACAGTCATCTGATGCAAAGTTACCGAGCTTCAATCAAGCAACTGCTATACGAGCCTTTACTATGTATTGTCGATTATGTATTCATCTCTACCACAAGGTATGTAGTTTTAAAGTTCTCTTACAATGGTATGAGAAGCATATTAACAAATAAGATTCATTACTGATTTATTTTCTTTAATTGTTGAGTAGTTTTGCTCAGAAGAAAAGTTTTATTTGTCTCTTTTGGAAGAAACTGGATTTTGGATAGAAAACCAAGTTCTACCTATTATTCATCAACAAGAAGAGGAACACTTGAAGTCTTGCAGAGAGATTTACCAGAAAACAATTCAGGTTCGAATCTCCATTAGATTGTGAGACTTTGAAAACAGGGACTTTCTTTTGCCTTTCGTTATAGCCTCAGTGCTTAGCACAGTGCCTATGCCAGGTGGCACTTAATAAATGCTTTTTGTTTAAAGTATAACTCATTTTTCTTAGTGTAAATTGGCTTGGTTTTGAATTTTGTTATTAATCCACTTTAAAATTATAAGTTTAGTATTTACATTGTAATAAGAAGAGTTATAAACCATAGAACAATATAAATGACCAGAATTAATTTTAATTGACATACTGTTTTTCTTGTGCTTTTTTTTTGAACAAAAGGTTACGATGTAAAAGTATAGTATTTGTGAATTGGGAAGTCAGTATCTTACGCTGTATCCACAAAGAAGTATTTTAGATATGTTTATATAAATCTTTCAGAAAGGATCTAGTTTATCAAATGTTAGCAAATCTCTGTTTGAATTTCATTAAACTTTTTATGAATTTTTATTTTAATGGTAATTTTTATCATTATTAAACCTTGTCAATCCATCTTTCTTTTGTAGGCCTATGTTACAGTGTGTAAAGATGCTGTAATGATTGGCTTTGGAGATTCCAAGTTTCATATGCAGTTTTTAAAAATAACTCTTGGAATTATGCAAACAGGTACACTTCATTTTTTGATAATTAGAGTATAAGTACAATCTCTTTTTGTTGACACAGCCTTCCTATAAGTCTGTGTCCAGTGTTTTGTTAAAAATGAATGATAGGAATACTGTTACCAGCTTTATTTAGCAAACAAAATTGCTTTTAATAAATGGGGGAGATATTTGGGTGTTTTGAAGGTTTTAGTTGCCCAAAAGCTGATATTGGGTGGAGAGATTTCAGTAAATAGCTTTATTAACTAAGCTCCTGTTCCTTAAAGTTTGGCTTCATTTAGTCCATGTAGCTCGTTTGCCTGGCCATGGGGAATGTATCTCGAGACCTGACACCTTTAGTGTCCATAGATGAAGAGGGTTGAGAAATCTAAGAGCTCCCAAGAGTGGGAGTGCTCCACTGAGATGCAGCCAAGGTGGAAATCCCTATCTTGGGATCTGTCACTGTGTTCCAGAAATTATGTCTGCTTTTCTTTATGAAGTTTCAAATACTCATGCAAAGGGTTTTAGAGATGAGTTAGTCCAACTCAATTTTTTAAATAAAGAAAGCAAATATTTCATTTAAACACCTTCCTTTAATAATATTATTTCATTGCTTATGTAAAATTCTTATTCAATATATTTTTCAACATTATATTTTTTTCCTTTGAAATCTATAGAATGTTTAGAAAATTAGATGCATTTTGTTTGTTCGTTAAATATGACTGTTTTCATGAGATTTAAATAATTGAATATTGGTATTTGAGGAATTCAACATTCTTTTCAAAATTATATTCATTGTATTTTTAGTTAATCTGTTTTTATGTTTATATTCCTTTTTTCTAAATTAATGCCATGTTACAGTTTTCAACAATCATTTTCTTTTTTTTGTTTTGTTTTGGCTAGGCGCAGTGGGGTTAAGTGACTTGCCCAGGGTCACACAGCTAGTACGTGTTATGTGTCTGAGGCCGCATTTGAACTCAGGTCCTCCTGAATCCATGGCCGGTGTTCTATCCACTGCGCCACCTAGCTGCCCCATTCAACAATCATTTTCAATGTAAACTTTCTTAGTGTCCTGATTCTTATCACTTTGATGATCATCTTGGTGGAATCTCTTTACTTCTCTTGATCATCTCATCAACTTGAATGAATTTAATTATCATCTTTCTGCTCATGATTTGCAGATCTCTCTCTCAGGCCACAACTTCTCTGCTGACCTAATTTAACTGCCTTTCAGACATCTTGAACTGTACTTCCACTGGATTTCTTAAACTTATCATGCCCCAAACCAAACTAATTATCTTTTCTCCTAAACCCTCCCTACCTTCCTGCCCCTCTTCCTTATTGCTGTAGAAGGTGTCACCATCCTCCCAGTCCCTCAGGTTTGCAGCATAGGTGTCATCCAAACCTCCTCACTATGTCTCATAACCCGTATCTAATCTGTTGCCAAGGTCTGCCAGTTTCATCTATGCAACATTTCTTGAAGACTCCCCCTTCTATCCTCTGACACTGTTGCCACTCTGGTTTAGATTCCCATCACCTCATCCCTGAATTATTGCAACATCCTGATAGTAGTGGGTCTGCCTTCCTCAAGTCTTCCCTCACTCTGTTCCATCTTCTTCAGCCACTAAAATGCTTGTACTGTAGCTCAGGTACCATGTCAGTAAAATCCAGGTACTTCCTCTTTTCTTCGGGATCAAATATAAAATGCTCTGGTGATCAAAGCTTTTTGTAATCTAGTCCCCTCCTATCTTTTTAGTATTCTGCATCTTACTCCCATTCATGTTCTCTTCAGTTTAGTCACACTGGGTTCCTTGATGTTCCATGAGCAAGAAATGCCATCTCCTGACTCCAAGCATTTTCTCTGGCTGTCCTTCATGCCTGGAATGCTCTCCCTTCTCATTTTTGCCTGGTGGTTTCCTTGGCTTTGTTGTTGTTGTTGTTGTTGTTGTTGTTGTTGTTTTCAATTACATGTAAAAATAATTTTTTCCATTTGTTTTTTTTATTTTGAATTCCAAATTCTTTCCCTTCCTCCTTCCCCTTTCTCTTCCCTGAGAAGGCAGCAATTTGATATAGACTATGCATATGCAGTCATGCAAAAACATTACCATGTTATCTATGCTGTGATAGAAACATGGACCAAAAAAATGGAAATAAAGAAAATATGTTTTGATTTTCATTCAAACTCTGTCAGTTTTTTCTCTGGAGGTGGATAGCATTTTCTGTAAGACCTTCAGAAATGTCTTGGGTTATTGTCTTGCTGAGCATAAATAAGTCATTCACAGTTGATCATTGTACAGTATTGCTCTTACTGTGTACAATGTTTTCCTGGTTTTGCTCACTTCACTTTGCATTAATTCATATAAGTTTTTTCAAGTTTTTCTGAAACCCTCCCACTCGTCATTTCTTCTAGCACAATAATAGTATTCCATCACAAACATATACCATATCTTATTCAGCCATTCCCTAATTGATGGTCATCCCCTCGATTTGCAGCCCCCAAAAGCATTACTGTAAATATTTTTGTACATATAGATCTATTTCCTTTTATTTTTAAATCACTTTGGGGTATAGACCTAGTAGTGCTATTACTGGGTTAAAGGGTATATGCACAGTTTTATAGCCTTTTGGGCACCGCTCCAAATTGCTCTCTAGAATGGTTGGATTAGTTCACAACTCCACTAACAGTGCATTAGTGTCTCATTCCCTCCAACATTTGTCATTTCCCTTATCTGTCGTATTAGCTGATCTGGGAGGTGTGAGGTGGTGCCTCCGTTGTTTTCAAAACTTACATTTCTCTATAATCAGTAGTGAGGGCAGCTAGGTGGTGCAGTGGATAGAGTGCGAGGCCTGGAGTCAGGAAAACTCTTCCTGAATTCAAATCCAACCTCAGACATTTACTAGCTTTGAGGCCCTGGGCAAATCATTTAACCTTGTTTGCCTTGGTTTCCTCATCTGTAAAATGAGGTGGAGAGACAATGGCAAACCACTCCAGTATCTCTGCCAAAAAACCCCCACAAAAAACAAATGGGGTCATGAAGAGTCAGACATGACTAAAAAGTGACTGAAAAACGATCAAATAGTCATGTAGAGTAATTTTTTCATAAGACTACAGATAGCTTTGATTTCTTTTTCTGAAAACTGCCTTTACATATCCTTTGACCATTTGTCAGTTGAAATGTCTCATATTCTTAAAGATTTGGCACAGTTCTCCATATATTTGAGAAAGGAAGCCTTTATCAGAAAAAGCTGCTATGAAATTTCCCCCCACAGTTTTCTGTTTTCCTTCTAATCTTGGCTGCATTGGATTTGTTTATGCAACACCTTTTTAAGTTTAATGTCGTAAAAATTATTCATTTTAATTCTTATGATGCTCTCTATCTCTTGTCATAAATTCTTACTTTGTCCATAGATATGACCAGTTAGGTATTCCATGCTCTCCTAATTTCCTTGTGGTATCACCCTTTATGTATAAATCATGTGCCCATTTTGATCTTATCTTGATATATGGTGTGAGATGTTGGTCTTGACCTAATTTGTCCCAAACTGCTTTCCACTTTTACCAGCAATTTTTGTCAGATAGTGAGTTCTTGTCTCAGATGCTTGAATCTTTGCATTTATCAAATACTAGATAACTGCATCATTTATTTCTCTGTATTGTGTACCTCATCTAGTCCATTGGTCCACCACTTTACTTCTTAGCCAGTACCAGATTGTTTTAATTGTTTACCACTTTGTAATACTGTTTGAGATCTGGTATGACTAGGTCACCTTACTTCACATTTTTCCTGGCTTTGTTTAAGTCTCAACTGTGATCTCATCTTCTATAGGAAGACTTTTGAAACCCCCTCTTAATTCTGGTGCCTTTCTTCTGTTTATTATTTATTCTTCATCCTGTATGTGGCTTGCTTGTACTTATTTTTTGTTTACTCATTAGATTGTGAGCTCTTTAAAGGGAGGGATTGTCTGTTTATTAATTGGTATGTTTTAAAACTATTTTCTAATTCTTCTTGCTGCTTTTTTTATAAAATTAGTTGCTATGCCATTAACTATGTAGATATTTAACTTCAATATTTTCTCATTGTCAGTGTCACCCTGTAAGTGTCTTTTAATTAATTTCTTTGTTAATCATTGCCCATCTTTCTAATTTGAATTCAGCTCTGTTATATTGCTTTGCTGTAGTTCTAGATTTTCTGGAGTCTAGTTAAATTTTATTAAATCCTTTGTCCTTGAACCAATAAATATCTTGATGAATTATCTGTAGATATTGTGTGGTACAGCTGCCCAAAAATAACACTCAGAGATTTTCTAGGTATAAAGTGAAAGATGTATTACATTCTCGCGAGAAGTGGGCGTCTGCTTCATCCAGCAGTCCGAGCGAAGCGAGGCAAGGCACCAAGGCCAGGACAAAAGTTATATAGCCCTAAAGCCGAGATACCCACCCACCACTGGCTTTGAATTCCCATTGGACAGGAATTTCAGCCTTACAATCTAAAACGCAAAAATCTACCCCAGAAACAAGAATCCACATTATAATACTACCAATCCTAGCTATTTATCCTTATTGAGTAATTAGCCATTACCTAATGCTGATGTAACAATACAAATCCTGTGATTTCTAGGAACCCTGAAATTTAGGCCTATTAGTGTAACCAACCTGGAGTTTGCAACATTCTAAGACATTGTACACTCAGTCCATCTGCGAGATCTCACATTGTTTACATTGTTTTACTCAGTTAAAAACCAGAGTCTTGACAAAAGTTTGCAAAAAGAAGAGATCTCTTTATTGACTTTCCCGAGAAAGTGCACCCCTGTGCTGCCTAAGCTGCCCCGATAGTGCAAGTGCTGTTTGTTTAAGCAAGGTTACATAGACCCTAATGCAGCAGCCCACCCTAACGCCCTTCCCGTCGGCTCATTGACTGAGCCTCAGGTATGCAATCTATTCGTGTAAAAACTACCCCAGTAACAGAGAAAACAAAGAGGCATAGAAATTATGTTAGCATGTTCCCCTTTTCAGGGCCTCACAGTTTCATCAACCTTTTACCCAAGGTCATATAACTAGCTAGAGGATGAGATAGACAGGATGCTCTTATGACTCAGGAATTTCTGCTAACACTGTCTAAGAGTAGGGGAGGGAGAAGGCTGGGGTTGGGGGTCTCGTATTCTGAGGGATCTTCACTTAGTGTTGGTACACATGTACCACTCAAAAGCAACAATACCAGAACCATTAACAAGAACTAATGATCCTTTGAGGAGGCTTCACTTCTGAGAGATCATCTCTCACAATATCATAAAATTGTATCTTTGAATCCATCCAAATCAACCATTTCCTTTGCATTGGAGAGGACAAATCAATTTCCACTCAAGGCTGTAGTGGTTATTTTTAGTTTTACTTTTTTCCTACCATACTTTGCTTAGTTATTTGTTTTGTCAGTATGAAATAATAATCTTACTTATTACACTGATATTATAACCTTAACTCAACTTTAATACATTCATAATCCCAAATAAACATAATTTCTATGTTAATGGTCAATTTAAAAAAGGAAACAAAAAAACTACCTTCTGTCACCTTGTTTGATATGAAAACATCATTCAGATTTCTTTGACTCTCAGAATCTTTCTATCTTGTTAAAACCTGCACAAGCTTGTTTTCTTCTGACATACCTATTGAGAATATGAGATCAGCTGTGATAAAATGTTTGTTAATCAAGAAGTGCCTTTTTAAGTACCTGCTAGATGCCCAACATTGGGCTAGCCTCTGGAGTTACAGAAAGAAAAAACTGTTTTGACTCTCAAGGAAATTACATTCACTTTTGGAAAACAATACGTATACACATAAATACACACAAAATGCATAGAAGTAAATATGAAATAATTTTGAAGAGATCACCAAAGGTCTCATATAAGAGGTTACATGGGTAGAACTTTAAAGGAAGTTGGTGATTCTATGAGGGAAAAGTAAAGAAGATATGTATTTCAGCAACAGGAAGACATCCTGTGAGAAGGAATGTCAGTGGGAGGTAGAATGTTGGGGATTGCATATAGGGGCTGGAATATAGGAAATATGAAAGGGAGTAGTATGCAATAAGCGTAGAAAAGTAGGCAGGGTCTAGACAGTGAAGGCCTTTTAAAAGCCAACAGAAGAGTTTATAATTTATCATACAAAGAAAAGGGAGCCCCTTATACATTATGAGCAGGGTTCTAATGGACAAAACTGTGTTGTAATTATGTACCTTTGGAATGTATTTGCACCGAAGGAGCAGAGTAGAATTTTTGTGACAGCATGATTAGCAGAATGCTATTCATATAATTGTATTAAATGTTCAAAAAACTTTTATTAATTTAATTAAAGTATGTTAATGAAACTAATTTGTCATTTCTTTCCTATTCCTCCCCTTGTTTTTTAGAGAAAGGGCATTTTTGCATTCCGTTACTCCTTTGTATTCTCAAAGAGATGACAGCAAGTTCTTTAATTCAGAAATCTAATTCAAATGAAGAAGTTGAAACATTTTTTGATTTGATTCAGAAAGTGTTCCAGAAAATGTTGGAATGTGTTGCATACAATTTCAAAAAACAAGAAGAAGAAGGCCTTCAGGTATTTCTGTAGCTTTTTTTTAAAAATTAATTAGTTAGTTTTTAGTTTTCAACATTCACTTCCACAAGATTTTGAGTTCCAAATTTTCTCCCATCTCTCCCCTCCCCCCACCCTAAGATAGCATACATTCTGAATGGCCCTTCCCCAATCTGCCCTCCCTTCTATCACCCTTCCTCCCCCCTTCTCTTATCACTTTCTCCTTCTTTTTTTCCTGTAGGGCAGGATAGATTTCTATATCCCATTGCCTGTATATCTTATTTCCCAGTTGCATGTAAAAACAATTTTTAACATTTGTTTTTGAAACATTGGGCTCTAAATTCTCTCCCTTCTTCCCTCCCTACCCACCCTCATTGAGAAGGCAAGCAACTTGATACATTTGTAGTCATGCAAAAAACTTCCATAATTGTCATGTTGTGAAAAACTAACTATATTTCCCTTCATCCTATTCTATGTATTCTTTTCTCTCCTTTGACCCTGTCACTCCTCAAAAGTGTTTGCTTCTGATTACCCCCTCCCCCAATCTGCCCTCCCTTCTATCATTCCCCTCTCCCCCAATTCTGTCCTTACAAAGTATATGTTTATTAAAATCCAGAAATAGGCTAAAATTGAGTTAATTTATTTTTCATGTAGAAAATCACCTAAACAGTTGTAAGCACCCAAACGAAACCTCTTTAAACTCTGCATTTTGAGTGATGTTATTTCATTTATTTGAGTGCTTACTGCTTTCTTGACTTAGACTGTAATTTGCCTTTCTGCTTACCCTGCCAGCTCCACACCCCTTCCCCCCAACTCAGTGAGATAATTTTTACTTTGTATATTGGATTTTTACTTTAAAATATCTTGCCAGCTTCTCTCCCCTGCCCCACTCAGATACTTTTTATACTTTGTATATCAATTTTTTACTTTAAATTCATTTTAGAGATTCGACTCAGCATGTTGGAGGATTTACTCTTATATTAATTTTCTTCTTTTGAATGTTATCAGTATACAAGCAGGCTATCTATTTGTCCATCTGAGAAGTCAAAAGAATATATTTTTAAAAACTTAAAACAACCATTCAGGACACACTGTATTTCTGCTATTTGTTCTTTGATTTACCCTTGGTTAAAAGGCAATTGAATTTTCATTTCTGGTTTGTTGGTCTTCACTGATGAAAATATTATAACAAAGCCAGATAATTAAAATTATACATCCTAATTTTTGTAAATGCAGTTTACTTCAAACTAATGTAAGATCATGTATAGTGCTAGGAAAATATCTTTATTTAATAATGTGCTCAAAAGAAATAAGTTGTATGCTTTTTAAATATATGGATAGAGACCTTAGAGACCATCAGTTTCCCAGCCCCCTCCTTAGATGATGAAACTGATAGACTTGTCCAAGGTTACGCAACTAGAAAAAAAAAAGTCTTTCCCTTAAATTCATAAAAAAAAAAAAGATGAGTTTTAGAGCTCATCTTGTCATTACTTCATTTTACAAATTGTGAATTTGGGGAAGAGAGTTGAGTTGCCAAAAGTCATAAAATATTTGAATGATGTTCCTGATTCACACTGTACTGTAGACAACTCTAGGGCAGCTGGGTGGCATGGTAGATAGAGTGCCAGAGCTGAAGTCAGAAGACTCATCTTCCTGAGTTCAAATCTGGCCTCAGCTACTTTGTGACCCTGGACAAGTCACTTCACCCTGTTTACCTCAGTTTCCTATAAAAAGCTATTTCTAATAAGTTTATCAGTTTTCAGAGTTAATATTAAAAGATGGCTTTAACTCCATTAAAATAACTGTTTTTTTTGTATTAGTTACTCTATTCTATTCAAGTGCCTCTTGATGAATTTGTAAGTGCTGTCCAGTCTTGGCATGTGAATACATCAGTACACCAAGGAATGCTTTCTACTCTCTTAGCTGCAGTAGTGGTTGAAATAAGTCACAAATTACGAAAGGTAAAGTATTCTATTCCAGAAAATATCACACAGTTATATTCTGATTTTCAATATATGGGTTAATATTTCTCAGTAGTAATTTATTTCGGTCTTAAAAAAGAAAGCTCACAAACAATTCTGAGTATGCTGCTTTTAAGGAAGATTTTTAGTGAAGCTTTGGATTACAGTGTTTCCTACAACTGCTAAGTAATGCTTTAATTTATATTCAATCAGACATTACAAATATTTATTTACAACTTAATTTAATCAATATTTTGTGAATGGTAAACTTGCCATAGTTCTGTCATGAAATATACGAAAAATAAAAAATGCCGGAATGTAACCACAAGGTTAGATAACTAGAAAAAATCATAATATGAACCTAGAGCCTTTGACTTAAAGTCCAGTGCTCTTCCTCCTGCACCATGCTGCCTGTCACATGATGTGAGACTTGGGCAGGTAGGTAGTTCAATAGACAGAGTGCTAGACTTGGAGTCAGGAGGACCTGAGTTCACGCCTTGACTTAAAGTCCAGTGCTCTTCCTCCTGCACCATGCTGCCTGTCACATGATGTGAGACTTGGGCAGGTAGGTAGTTCAATAGACAGAGTGCTAGACTTGGAGTCAGGAGGACCTGAGTTCACGCCTTGACTTAAAGTCCAGTGCTCTTCCTCCTGCACCATGCTGCCTGTCACATGATGTGAGACTTGGGCAGGTAGGTAGTTCAATAGACAGAGTGCTAGACTTGGAGTCAGGAGGACCTGAGTTCAAATGTGTGACCTGGGTAAGTTATTTAACCTCTCTTTGCCTGAATTTCCTCAACTGTAAAATGGGGATAACAGAACCTAGCTCCCAGAGTTGTGGGTCAGGATCAAATGAGGTATTTGTACAACATTTAGCACAGTGCCTGACACATAATAAGCACCTATTTCCTTCCATTGTTGTCAACATTTTTGCACATTTTAGTAGTACCTAAAATCAATTTTAGTATCTAAAATCAATTTAGACAAACAGTTAATATTTGTTGGTGACTAGTGTGTTCTTAGCACAAAGATCAACTATTTAGCTGTACTAAAATCAGAGAACTATTTTAAGAGTTAATTATTTTTATAATGTTGACAAGCTATAGTAGGGTCATGTTGGAAATCCAACAGCTTTGCTCTACCATTGTATAAAACTGTGTTTATGTTCACATCAATAATGTTATGCACATATTGGTGGTTGTACCTCAAAGGTATATTGGAGCTATAAAAGTTAAAAAAGGAGTAGCTCAAGTTATACTATGAAAGAGTCTTCACATGGGGATAGATGGAGTAGGTAAGCAGCAACTTTTGTTAGAAAGATAAAGTATGAGAGGGAGTATGATTGTGGTGTATAAAGTAATAAACATAGAAACTTGTTCATAAGATAGGAGATTGTTAGAACTAAAAGTCACCCATTTGTAGTTTGGAAGAGATAATTTTAGGACAAGAAGAAAAAGTCCTACAAGAGCAATTTAGTCCTAAAGTTTATAGAATGTTTTATCTTTTGGAACTAAAAAAAAATTGAAAATAGTAGTTCAAGAAAGAATTCATATTCTTTCTCCCTCCCCCTTACCCTCCCTCTCCCCCCTCCCCGGTCCTCTCCCTGGCTAGATTTCTTTCTCAAAGACCATACCTTAAACCCAATTCATTTGGAGCTCATAGATTGGACAACAATTGGTCCCAGCCCAGGCACATCTTAATGATTATTTTTTTGGGCCCTCCTGGCTCAGAGTGAATGTAAATAGTAACTGTTACTCTTTTGGCCAGCAACCCTGAGGGTCTTCCCCTTCCAGTTTTTTTTTGATCGAAGGGGCCATCCCTTGGCTCACTTATTTTTTTATTTTTTATTTTTTTTTTGTGAGGCAATTGAAGTTGAGTGCCTTGCCCAGGGTCACACAGCTAGTAAGTGTTATGTGTCTGAGGCCAGATTTGAACTCAGGTCCTCCTGACTCCAAGGCTAGTGCTCTAGCCACTGCACCACCTAGCTGCCCTCCTCTTGACTCACTTCTTAAAGAGGCCTATTCACTGAATGGCCCTTACCTTACTCAAAGTGAGAACCTGAAAAGACCTTAGCTTAAAAGGACCAGGGTATCCTATTGTATCCTGGACCATTTCCAGTCATCCTGATGAATATCTGGCTACAGCGCCCAGATGACTCTAGAGGAGAAAGTGAGGCAGGTGACCTTGTGCAGCCCTCTTTCACTCAAATCAAAGTTAATTACAGGTCATGTCATCATCTCCCTAATATCATGGTCCTCTTCAAGAACAAAGGACAAACACAACAACAACATGACTTACGGTCACAGTTTTTCATAGATAAAGTTCATCATTTTTTGTCTCAAGTTCTGTCAGTAAAATATTAACTCAAGAATCACAATAGATCAAGGGAGCCTAATGAAAGGCTTTGAGGCCGGGTGAGGTAACCTGCTTTATTGCTGCAAAACTAGTATTCCAGGGGTAGTAAACAAGACTATATTAATCACTTAAAGAAAATAAAGATTGTAAGCCATATTTATTTGTATGTGGATGGGCACTTTATATGCATAATTGCCAATAATATAATTGGGAATTATAATAGATATTTTGTTGTTGTTCAGTTGTTTTAGCCAACTCTTCATGACCTCAGTTGGGGTTTTCTCAGCAAAGATACTGAAGTGCTTTGCCATTTCCTTCTCCAACTCATTTTACAAATTGAAGAAGTGAGGAAAATGGCATTAAGTGATTTTCCCAGGGTCACATATCTTGTAAATGTCTGAGGACAGATTTGAATTCAAGAAGATGTGTCTTCCTGATTCCAGGCCCAACCAACAGACTTTGAGAGTTGGATGAGCCCACAGAGGCCATCTAATAAAATTTACTCATGAAAAGAAGCCCCTAGAGTAACATGACAGGTGGGCATCCAGCCTCAGCTTAAAGACCTCTGAAGAAGGAGAACCCATGGCTTTTCACAGCAATAGCCCATTTCATCTTTGGACTGCTGTATTTTTAAAAAGTTTTTCTTGACAGCTAGCCATAATTTGCCTCTTTATAGCTTTTACCCATTGTTCTTGGTTCTTTTCTCTCAAGACAAAAAGAAGTTGAATCCCTCTTCCATATGACAGCTCTTCAGATATTTGAAGGCAGCTATTATCCATTTCTCTTCCAGTACCCATTTTCTTCAGCCAAGGCTCATGATGTGGATTTGAGACCCTTTGCCATTCTATTTACTGGCCTCTTTACTATCCTACTGTACTCTTCAGATTTTTTCCATTTAAAATGTCCTCTTGCCCTTCTTTGCTAAACAGTACTTAATGCTACATTTAAAACAGTCTAGATAGCTCTAAGAATGCTGCCCAAATACCCCGAGGGATCCTATCTTTTACACTTTTCACAATACCTACTTATCTACTTTTTCAGCACATTTGAATTATACTGTACTTACATCATCCTATACATACATACATATATATATATATTATATATATATACATGTATATGTATATATATACATATATATATACATGTATATGTATATATACGTATATATATATGCATAATATATTATATATATATATGCTTAGTCTTTGCTCTCAGTAAGATCCTCCTAGACAGTCAGCAGGAATTTACCAAGTGCCAACTACGTATCAGATACAGGGCTAGGCTGTGGAAAAATGGCAGAGTTCAAAGAACAAACTTGAAATTTCACTTCACAGCTCATTTTTGTAGGCCATAGGGCAGTTGAGCACCTTCTTAGCTATATTACTCCCCCCTTTTTTAAATAGGATTTGAAATAAAAATTTATTGAATATAGGACTTTATACAGAATCTGTTTATATGTAATCACCAAAATGACCTTTCTCTACGTATATAAATATATATGTTGTGCTATACTTTAAGCACCTAGGTATAAAGAACTGTGCCAGAAATAGCATACAGTTAAATTTGAAGATGTTCCATGTCCTCAAAGATGGTGCATTTTTTTAAAGTACAATTTTTAATCTTAATTTCAGTTCCATTTTCTCTTTCTCCTTCCTCCCCTTCCCTCACCCATTAAGAAAAGCATGTAAATCATGCTGTTACAAATATGATAGTCAAAGCAGAACAAATCCCCACTTTAGCCATGTCAGAAAAATATGCTTCAATCTGAACTCTCAAGTTCATCGCTTCTGTGCCTGGAGGTGGGTTACATGTTTCTTCTGGAGTCCTATATAACTGTTATTGGTTCCATTTTGTTGATCAGAGTTCCTAGGTCTTTCAGAGTTGTTTGTGTTTTCACTCTTGTTATTGTATAAACTGTTCTGCTGGTTCTGCTCACTTCACCTTGCATCAGTTTATATAAGACTTCTATTTTTTTCTATAATTCTTTTTAAATTAGAGAAAATTCACAGAATACCTTTTCCCTGAACACCAAAGAGTGGATAAGGGGTTTATGTGGTTAAAAATAAACATGGACATTTTACTACTTTTTTTTTCCCATCTGGAAAGGTGAAAAGCTTCAGGAAGCAAGGAGGTTTGGGAAGAACATATGTAGATAAAAATACAGTGGGCAAGAAAACTCAAATTTACAAAAGATAAATTTTTGTGTAGTCCTAGTTAGTGATTGGTTCTGAAGTTTTTCTTCTTTTTTTTCCCTCTCTCTGACCAGTTCATTTTTTAATCCAAACTGAAACTAATTTGGAGAGTAACCTTAGACTTGAAATAGGTTCTGATGCAGATGCTGAGTTTTTATGAAGGACTTGCTTAACAAACTAAGATAGTGTTTGGTTTTTGGCAAAGACCTTTTCTTTAATTGTCTGCTCATAACTACCTGTCCTATATGCTACAGGTTCTACATGCTATATTACCTATTATAGGTTTTTAATTACTTAATAAAAATTGAAATATTATTTCAAGTGTATAGGGGGTAGTTTTCAAAGTATGCTAAAAAGCAGTATTTGCTAAGCAGTGGACTTATTTTAGTCATACAGATTGCTGCTTATGTATTTGTTCATATTTAATTTCATATTTTCTTAACAGATTTCAGATACAGAAGAATTTGCAGTACCCAAATGTCTTTCTGATCTTCCACCATTCTCAAGGTGTTTAATGGGAATCATAATGAAGTCTGTAAATGTAGTTAGGTAAAACATTTTTACTTTGTTTTAAAATTTTTATTATGGACCTTTCAGTGACCATATTTTATTATTCTCATTCGAAAATTTGAAAGACTTATTTTCCTTTAAGAATAAAGTCTTTAGCAGTTTTTGTTGCTGCATTTGTTTAAATATAGACCACTTTCTCTCTTCCCTTCCACATTTACGCCGTAAATATGTTTATACAAAATCTAAGTTTGACCTACAGTTGCTATTATTTTTTAGTATATAATGATTTCCTTTTAAATATTTCGTTTTACAGATATGGATAATTTTCATCTTTACAATGAATTCACACACATGAATTATTCTAACTGACCATATTTATAATTTCTGATCATTGTTAGGGTCTACGTATATATAGGCCAATTTAACTCATGTAATCCTGTAATGGGCATATTTATAAACACAATTTTTTTTACAGATCATTCTTAGAAGAATTGACAGTTTGCGTAGCATCTCAAGAAATTGAAGGCATTGTTTGCCTCACAGCTGTTGTATGTATGATTGTCATTATCAGTAAAGGTAAGTCAAATATTTTTCTTTTATTTCTTGTGACTTCACATCATATGTAGGATTTTGAAATTCACTTGCAACATGGTGTAGTGGCTAGAGTGCCAGGCTCAAAGCCAGGAAGACTTGGATTCAAATCTAAACTTGATACGTATTGGCTCTGTAACCCAGGTCTAGTCATTTAACCTCTTAATCCTTTAGACAGCTCTCTAAGACTAGAAGCTGTAGAGAAAATTGTTATCTGCATTGGTAGAGAGGTAATTTCTTTTTTAGGAGTGTCCTGTACTTATAAAATCATAGGTCCAGTTCTGATCCTTACTAATTATTTTAAATATATGAATTCCCTAAATCCTGTTATGTAGTTGAAAAATGAAATTCAGGGAAGGTAACCAGTGTACAATAAAATACTTTGTAGTTCTCAGTTCTATGTATAGAAATATCCCTTTTCTTTAAAGACCTTGCTTGATGTATTGCTCTGGTGTGTGTGTATGTGTGTGGGGGTGTGTATATGAACATTTATGGATACTATTATTATGGTGAGAAAAAAATCTAGATTCCCTCTAGTTTGTAAATGTTCTTTCTAAAATGTGGTGCGCAGAATGAATGCAGTCTACTTCTCTTGACCTAAACAGAGTATAGTGGTATTACCACCTCACTCATCCTGTAGCTTTTTATGTATTGTAAAGTCACATTAGTTTTTTTGGGTGTAATGTCACAGCATTGACTTACCAACCTTACATTCCAATAAAACCTACCATCTTTTTCACATAGTCTCTTCTCTGATTACACTTCATGAATCTTCAGAAATTAATTTTTTTAACCCCAGTGTAAGAATTTATTCCTGTTAATTTTCATCTTCATAGAATTGACCCAACATTCTACACTGTCAGGATTTTTTGAAATCTTATCCTGTGTTCAGTGTGTTAGCTTTTCTCTTCTAGCTTTATGTCACCTGCCAAGTTTATAAGTATTCTATCTATGCTTTAATTTAGGTCACTAATAGAAATGTTAAATAGCACAGATTTTGGGGGGCAGTTCACTAGAACCCTCTTTCTACTTGAACCATAATGACTAGTGTTTGAACTGATCATTCAGCCAATTCTTTACCACTTTAATCCATCTAGTTCATATCTCTCCATATTTTTCATTAGAATTGTAAGAGAGCTTTTTGTCACTTTCCCAAAATATAAAATTGTAAACTATATAGCATTTTCCTTGTCTACCAGTCTAGTAACCTAGTCAAAAAAGGTAATGATGTTATGCTAGTGTGAGCAGTTCCTTTTGAAACCATATTGGCGCTGCTTTCTTTTCTAGAATACTTTCCAGAATTTTGGCAGGAATTTGTATCAAGTTCCCTTGCCTATAGTCTACAAACTCTGTTCTCTTCCATTTTTGAAGGTCAGGGTCATATTTGACTTTCTCCAGTCCTGTAATACTTTTCCTTGTTTCCTAGGACTACTCAGAGATTTCTGAAAGTTGTTTAGCAATCACATTTGTTGGTTTTTAAAAAAATTATCTGTGAAAGTAATTCCTACTTTGAGATTCCTTTTGGTTTTTCTTATTTCTTATTCATCTCAATTTATTCTGAACTTTAGTACTCCTAATTTTATTCTGTGAAGAATATGTGATGTTTTGTATTCATCCTTTATTACTCTCTGTGGCTTCCATGTTCTATAAATGTCTCTTTAAAATCTAAATAGGTTGGTAAGTTCCTTCTATATTTATCCATATTTATCACCTTGGCTCCTTTAGAAAGCTTCCGTTTGCTTTCTTATCAAATTGTTTCTCTTTCAGTGTTAAGCATTTCACTTTTCTTTTCCTATTTCCTAGACTGTAGCCTTCAGTGGGAAACTATTCTTTTTTTGAACCTTTAAAATCCAGAGTTCATATCCAAGTGTTTCCATCTTTCTTCTTTATCACAAATTCTCAGATGAAATGGTAATTTCATGTGAACATTACCATCATTTCTATCTTAATATCTAGTTCCTCTCTGTTGGTGGCAGTCTGCTCCAGAATTGAATATCATCCTTGTTAAATTTTCCACTTTTTTAAAGGAATAAATAATTATTAAGGTATATTAAATAATTACTAACTAATGTCCTTTTGACAGAGATTGTTATAACATATCTGGATAGTCTTGATAATTGAAATTCCCGGTATTAACATATCCTGTCCCTGTGACAGGCTTGTGATCTATTTTCTGAATTCCTCATCCATTTCTGCTTTCTATCCAAGTGGTAAGTAGAATATTTCAATGACAGTAATGTTTCTATTTCTACTTCCGGAGATAATTGCCAAGTATTTTCCACCAACTTTCTCCCTCTGGTTCTTGGATTTTTTTTTCCATGGGCTTATATTTATCTTTTTAGTATATGATGCCACTCTATCCCCTTTTTACCAATCTTGTTTCTTTTGAATAAGGTAAAGCCTTTTAGCCCACATTCTGGCTTTAGGTCCCAAGTCACATATCAGTAATGCCTATTATGTCAACTTTGCCTCCTTGTATTAGGATCTTCATTCTCTCTTACTTTTTAATCATGACCATAAGTCAGTAAATCCAAACTGAAACTTTTAGAATCCTGTAGTTAAATATAATGAACCCAATCCTTTTAAATGTGTCAGCTCTTCACATATTTGAAGATAATGTGGTGTAATGGAAAGTACTTTAGAACTAGATAGCAAGGTGAGGTATTTTCATCTGGCCCTTTGTGTTCAGTTCTTGCACACTGGTGCTACTCATTAAAGAAAAGAGTTACAGTTCTGTTATGACTAAAACCTAAACACTATCACCTTCCCAGTACTTGCTTCTCTTACTTTTCATACGTGATCTGATGGATGATGATGATTGTAGGATCAATGGCATTTACCAACCTGAACCTCTGGCTAAAGGCTATGCAACTTGGCTAAATACAAAAGAAAGAAAGAAGAAAGATAGCCTTCCAGACTCAGGGTGATCTGTATTAATAAATACTAGGGTATATCACTTGAATTGTGTAGATGTTCTTTTGAGATTCCTGATTTTGAGGTTTCAGGTACTCTTGCACCAGGAGGTGGTGGTTTACTTTAATAATAATCCACATTTGCTACCATGACCCTATGTGCTTAAAATACTGCATTGTTCTCTAATTTAGCATGAGCGATTTAAGAAATTTGAAAAACGCTAGTTTGAGAAAGAAAATGTAAATCCAAGTTTGCATAACTTTAAAAGATTTAGGCCATATTCCATTATGGAGGCCTTCTATGCTTTCTTGGCTTCATGGTGTGCTATTATAGTTTCATCCTAAATTCTCTGCCTTGATCCTTCACTGATTTTATTTTTTAGTAGATGATGGATTTAAGAAGCCAAAGTTTGCTGTGGATAATACATTTAACAAACCAAAAACTAGTTCATTAAAACCCCTATCCTGAGAGATAAAAATCCACTTAAATAATTTATCATAAAAAACATCTCTGCTTTTACTGTGGAGGCAGTTTTCTGTGCCTTGGCCCTGTATGTATTGCCATGAGCTTACCAGAACAAAAAAGAACTATGCCATCTCAGAGAGGAAGATGGTAGCTATCGATTTGAGGCATAATGGCTCTATCCTGAGGTAATAAGATACTTTATCATTGACCATAAGAATTAGAACATCTTCAGAGAGCCCAGAAGCTTAATCTATACTGTATCTACTAGACCTTTTTTTTAAAAAGAAGGTTGAACTTAGCTATCATTTGCCTCCCTGAATATCATAATCAAAAGGTAGATGTTTAGTCCCAAAAGCCTGCACTTCTATAGACCATAAGTCAGTAAATCCAAATTAAAACTTTTAGAATTAATTTACTAGTAGCTGGTATAGAACACCTGTCCTCATTCCCAGTTGTCCTCCCAAACGGGCATGATGCTTCCAGCCTCTTTGGATTACTTCTCTCAGACATGCTTTTATACATCTGATTATACTTGTGTGACTTTCCTGTCCACCTTTGAAGAGTGGTGCTGTAAATCTGTTGCAACAGTCTGAGAGCAGACCCCAGGGACCCTTGATTTCTGTTGGCCTCAGACATAATAGCTAGATGTTTAGTCATGTCAAGTGGTTGCCTGGGCCAAATACCTATTGGACTGGCCAGCAGGCTTCCTACAACTCTTGCCTTCCTCTAAACTCCGGAGCTCTCCCCTAGAAAGTAGTAATGTTAGTTTTTTTGCATGTTATATTCTGCTGGCCTTTGCTGTATTGGGCTCAACTAGATCAAATCCCCATCAACCATCACTGATTGGAGATGGGCAGTATATGGTGCACAGGATAGCCTTGATTCATAGAGGTGTCCAGTCTAACTTTAGTGTCTAGTAGATGGGAGAAAGGATTCTGAGAAGAAAAATTCCAGAAAGAGGTTTAGTCCCAGTGAAGAGTAAACACCTCCAGACTAGGGACCATTTAAATGACAAGTGGCAATCCCTGGGGTTAGCTGAGTTAGAGGCTACCTCACCCACAGCCTCAGGAACGTTTACCCCTGGTATAGTGAGGGGAGTTGGGCATCTGAGCTGGGGAAGATCTAGGGAAGCTCTGCTGACAAGGAATGCCAGACCCAGCTGTGCCGTGGAGATGCAGTGGGGAACTAGCACATGCCTGATGAATGCAAAAGCAGTGGGGTGCATTGCCATAGCTGTGGGCACTTATAGGAGGCTGGAGATCTTGGTTTGAGTTCAAGGTCAGAGGGGAGAACTAAAGAGCATCTGAGGCCAGAGTTCCTCATCCCCCCATGTCCCAGGAATAGAAGTTATTATAAAAACTAAACTAAAACAAAAAAAAAATGCACAGGCAAAGGAGGAAGAATCCAAACATAGAGAGCTACCATGGAAATAGAGAAGATCAAGTTTGTCTTCAGAGGAGGATACTGAAGCAAAAAGGCCCTCTTCTACCTCAAAGAGTAATGTCAAATGGTCACCTGACCAAAAAATTCACCGAAGAACTTAAAAAAGACTTTAAAAATCAAATGAGAGAGATTGAGGAAAAACTAAAAAAAAAAAAAAGAAAAGTCCAAGAAAAACAAGATTATGAACAGAAAGTTAACCAATTAGAAAAAGAGATCCAGAATGTTACGGAAGAAAATGACTCCTTGAAAATCAGAATTGGGCAAGGGAAAGCCAGCAAAGTTATAAGAGATCAAGAAATAAAGAAAACAAAATATTAAGAATGAAAAAATAGAAGAGAATGTGAAACATCTCTTAAGAACAACTGATTTGGAGAACAGATCAAGAAGAGAAAACAGAAGAATAATCAGACCACCTGAAAGCTATGATCAAAAAAGTAATCTTGATACAATAATACAAGAAATAATTAAAGAAAGTTGTCCTGAAACATAACAGAATGGGAAAGCAGAAATAGAAAAAGTCAACTGATCACTACCTGAAAGAGATCCTACAAGGAAAATGCACAGAAATATTATAGTCAAATTCTGAAACCCCTAGATCAAGGACAAAATATTATGAAGGGCAAGAAAAAAACATTTACATATGGCTGTGTCACAATTAGAATCACACAAGACCTAGCAGTGGCAACACTAAAAGATCACAGGTCTTGGAACACTATCAAAGAGCAAAAGAACTGGGCTTCCAGCCAAAAATATCATACCCAGCAAAGCTAAGCATAATTCTGAATGGGAAAAAAATGGACATTTAATGAATTATCGCACTTTCAGGACTTTGTTTTAAAAAAAAAAACTGGACTTAATAGAATATTTGACATATAAGACCCAAGAGAAATATAAGGTACGCACCAATGACCAATTTCAAGGGACTCAATAAAGATAGACCGTTTACTTTTTATGTATGTAAAATGTAAAACCTATGTCTAAAATTATTATTAGTAATTATATAGCTTATAAGAAAGATTGGGGTAGACCTGAGTATGATATGACTCCAAAAAGCAAAACCATTCAAGAACAGCTAGAAGAGTAATTATTTTATACAAATGAGGTGTGAGAAGAAGAACCAATACTGAGGAATTAGATGGGGGAGAGGGGCTGTTAGTTCTGGAAACTGTTTTTGTCAGGAATGGGTTCAAGAAGGAAAAATACATATACATCTAGAAGAGTATAAAAGTCTTCTAAATTTAGAAAGAAATAAAAGGGGATAGGGAGGGGGGAGATCTTTAAAGGGGAAGGTGAAAGAGTAGGTCAAAAGGATGTACCAAAGGATGTTCTGATTTATGGGAAGGGGAAGATAAGGGAGGGATTGTTATGGGGCAGGCAGGTTAAGTAGGAGGGTGAAGTAGTGGGTAGAAGAAAAGCAGTAGGTCAAAGGGGCATATGAAAGGGTGTTTAGATTGATGGGAATGGGAGGATAAAGGAGGGATTGTTGCATGTGGGGGATAGATTAAGTAATAGAAGGTCTAGGTAGCTGGTAAAAGTAAAGTAGTTAAAATAAAGTTAGAGATAAGGAAAAAAGAGATACACATAAACATGAAAACAAAGATTAGAAGTAGAATCTCTTAGGAAAAGTATATGTTTATGTGTTTATGTATGTATATATGTATGTATATATGTATGTATATATCAGTATTTATATGTAAATGTATACATGCTTAATTGTAGCCTGGGGGGTACACGAAGGGAAGAAGGGGGGAAAAAGAATAAAGTAAGAAGTGTACAGCAGAGAACAAAAGAAAACCTACAAGGAAACAAAGAAAAGAAAGCTTTCAACATAACATGCAGTATTTAACATGTAGGCTTTCTTGAAATAGAAAGTTATTGCTATGTATTCTGAATCCTTTCCTATGTTCTGCTGTGCACAACATTTTTTTCTTTTTTTATTTTATATTTAAGTTTATAATGTTTCTTTTTCTTTTCTTATTATGTATTTAAGTTTTAGTATTTGTCTAAAATTTTTTTAAAAGTATCTAATAGATGAACCGTTCTGCCAGTTTGAGCACATAGGAGCTAGCACACCCGATAGAGGTCTGCTACCATTACTACTCTACCAAACCATAGCCTTGAGGTCTGGGGAAGAATTCTTGAAGAAGACGTGAGGTATAAGCCTTTTACCTCAGGGTTCAGCAGGGTTTCATCGCCAACCAGGGAAGTTCATGCAAAACTTAAGAATAAAAATGGATATAAGATTTGAAAAAGCTTGAATTCTACTTTTTATTCCCTCCACGCTGAATGTTGTCTTCTTGACTTAGTGACATTGCTTTAGCTTTCAGCTCTCTGGCAGCCAATTCATTCTGAACCATTTGGATTATATCAGCCTGTTTTCTTGCTTTTTTGTCTCAAGCTTTAGCTTTCCCCTTTCCCAGAAGTTTCCTTAGTTACTATAAGCTTCTACCTTAGGTGACACATGACATATACTGCGTGCATAGCACAGTTTACTAGTTTTGTTTTAGCTTGTTGAGATATTTTTGAATCTTGGTTCTTTTCACAATATTTGCCAGTCTCAACTTTTTGCTAACCTTGTGATTTAATAAATATGTTCTCTGACTTTGTCCGTGTTTCACACAAAAATATTAGACATTCAGGATCAAGTTACATATCTAGGAAAATACAAATGGCCTTTGTCCTAAGTGGCATATGAAAAAATGAATGGATGAAAGATGATCCTGAGAAGGATATATTCCTGTGAGTATGGAATTTTAGAGATAAAAAAAATTTTAGAACCTTAGAAATCATTTGGTCCAGACACCTAATTTTACAGAGGAGACAGTTGAGACTCAAGTTAAATGATTGTCTAAAAGGTTGTAACAATGAATTAGTAGCAGAATTAGGAATCCAGTTGACTTCCACTTAGTATTTTTTATACTTTTCTTTCAGTCAGTTAGCATTTATTAAATACACCATAGGCCAGCCAGTGTGCTAAGTGCTGGGGCATAAAGAAAGGTAAGTGATGGTCCCTCCTCTCAGTCTGATGGGAGACTTCTAACTTGAATCATTTTCTGGTATATCTCTCTGCAAGGCCTCAAGCTTTCCTTGCTGATGAATAAAAGGGAAAACTTGGTTTTCTATCCAAAATCCGTTTTCTTCCAAAAGAGATAGGTAAACCTTTATTTTTTCTTTCTGAGTAAAACTACTCAACAACTGATATCTAGTTAGTTTAAATGTCTTGTTCAAGGTTTTACTAGCTCATTAGTAGTGATACTGGGATTAGAATCTAAGTCTTTTGACTTCCAGTTCAGTGTTCTTTGTACTCTAATAAAATACTAATCTGTAGTACAGACAGTTTTAAGTGAATTTTCTACATTTTTAATCCTGAAACAAAGATTTTTTTCCAATTACATTAAAAACTCCGTTATCCACATGAATATGGTTGCTCCTACAGTCTTTCTCATTTATGAACCAAGGAGCCCTCCTTCCTTTTTATTGCTTATTTGTTGCTGCCTTTATCCCTTCATGCTGATTCAGATTACACTTTGAACCATGGGGAACAATAGTGCTACCAGAAAAGGGATTTTGGCTGAATTGAAGTGACAGCTTAGTAATAGAGTACCTAATAGATGCCTAGACAACTTTCATGGCTTTAAAAGTCAGCCTAAAGAAAGTGCTGAACCAGAGAGTAGGGTTCTAATCTAGCAGCACAGTGGAGTCCTTAGCCAGGAGCAAAGTAGGCTGAGAAAAATGAATAGACATTCATCAAGTGAGTACATATGAAAGAATCCATTGAAATTATTCAAGATTACTTTACTTTTCCAGCTTACATCTTTACACCAAGAAGATTCTGGATCTACACACTACCATGCTGCTACTCCTGGACTTTAGAGTTGTCTGGGATCTAACTTGGGAACAAAGGTTACCTCCCAACTAAACTACTTTCACCCACCTGTACCTTTCAGGGATATTCAGAAAAGATGAGAATTAGATTAAACCAGAAGTTTTCAGTAGCTTCCAGTTGCTTATGGGATAACATTCTTTAGCTTGGGCATTTAAGGTTCTTCATAGTCTGACTAAAATATGTTTTTCAAGCCTTGTTTCAGTTTCCTCCATGCATATACTCTCTATTTCCAACATACTCTACTAGCTATTTAATGTTTTTCAGCTCTTGTCATAGAAGGGGCTTAATAAATGTTTATTAAAAAAAAATATTGACTGATTGATTGTTCTCCTATCTCCTGCCTTTATTCATTCTTGTACACCTCTCCCCCCCTCACTCCCAGTATATTACTTTCTTATCTCTGTTTATTGAATGACTTTCCTTCCTTCAGGCTCATTACAATTGCTGTCTTCTCCATTAAAATTTCTATATCCTTCCTCCAATTTCCCCAGCCAAATTCTTTTATTCTTCAAATTTTCCCTCACTTTTCACATTTCCCTTGAATACCTTCTATCTCTTTTCTATTCCTAGCACAGGGCACTTTTAGTTTTAATTATTTCTCTATGTCTTTTTCCCTTGAGTAGATTATAAGTTTCTTAAGGATAGAGACTCTGTCTTTTTGCATCTTTGAATCCCTAAAGTTTTATATTTATACATATATGTATATACACACATATACATACACACACATATATATATTTAGTAATCTTTAATTAAACTGAATGCAAGTGATCAGGCATTCCCTATATTACTTCATAGAATGTACAAATGGTAATCGTGTCACTTTTTACCTGGAATTATAGAAGTATTAAGCCTGCAAGAACATAAGGAATAGAGTCCCTGGAATTGCATGTTTGTTTATGAGTATTTATGTATGTATAAAAAGGAGGATAAAATCATAAGTTTAGAGCTAGAAGAAACATTAGAGGTTATTTAGTCCAGCCTCTTCATTTTACAGATGAAGAAATAGATCTAAAGAAGTCAAGTGATCTGCCCGAGGTCACACAAAGAATAAAGTGCAGAGCTGGAATTTGAACCCAAGTCCTTTGATTCCAAATCCAGTGTCTTCCTCTGATAATAAAGATCACAACCTATCTATTCCTTGTGAATATCTAGATGTTGAGAGAAACATACGTACTTTATGATGTTTTATAGTGTTTGTGACTGTGCCAAATTTATAGACTTAATTTTGTTCCTTAACTCTCTCTTTTAATGCAACTTCTTTAAATAGGTAAACATAAAGATCCGAAAGTTAAGGATGCTGCTGCCACTATTCAACGAATACTGAACAGATACATGGAAATTACCTTGGAAGAAGATAGCATTGAAAGGTAAAAAGCTAAATACACCACAGAAACAATAATCATCAAAATGTAGGTTGTAATCTAAGTATATTTAAATGGAAGTATCTTAATTTGTTAGTTCCTGACACCAAGGATCAGGAAGTTTTAAGTTTAGAATTTCATACAATCATCATGGTAATATATCTGTTTGAATCAGCTTTGTTAGATATAGATTTAAGTTATTCACTTCTTTAAAACAATCAAAATTATATATATTTATTTTTCCCTACCAAAAGACAGTCATAGTGAGGGTTTTCTAGGTATTGAAAGTAGTGTCAGTCAAGCTACAGAGATTAAAAGGCATATAATTTAACTTTTTTAGGACAGTGACTTCTTCATTTTTTTGTCCTGTTGTATCAAGTTCCTAGATTCACAATCCCTGGCACATTATAAATATTTTATAAATACTTGTTGAATTAAATGGAAATTGTAATCCCAAAATGGGAATTGTAGTCTTACTTAGTCCACTTTTGTAATACTGTGTTTAGTTTTGATTACAAAAAAGGTCAACAAACTGGAGAATATCAAGTTAAGATAGTGAGAGAAATTAAAACTGAGTATTATAAGGAATGGCTGAAGAAACTGGGTACATTTGGTCTGGGGAGGAGAAAATGAGATGGAGCTAGAGATGTGGGAGGGAAATAATATAATTGCCTTGAAAGTTTGTCATGTGAAAGATTAGATTTATTTTCTCTGATTCAGGGGAGCATTTAAGTAGGACAAGTGCTAATAAATAAAGGGAGGGACCATCCAAGATGGCAAAGTAGAAACAAATAGTCTAATCCAGCTCCCCCCAACAAATATTCCATAAAGACCAAGAAAAAAAAATTACAGTGAGTCATTTTTCCTGCTGAGGTGAGCACAGGCAGATAAACAGATCCGTAGGCACTACAGATGGAGTCTAGGCAGAAGGACACAATGTAGAGCAATTAGAACTGGGACCAAATAAATGCCTTCAACTTTATACTAGAGTAAAAAGAGATTCCATATCTGACATAAAGGTGATTGACCTTGTGCAGGGAGAATGAAGAGATATAAACTGGCAGTTCTGTCACTAATACCTCAGTGCTACTTCATAGACCTATTGAAGATAAAGGAAGGCACCTGTGCATAGTGGTGGTTGTCCAGGGCAAGGAACAAGCATAGAAAAGAGCAGTAATTCTCTGGCTGTGACCCTGGGAGCAAAGCAGGGTCCCTGATTCAGCCCTCTGCCCCATAGGAAGTCAACAGTGTGAATAATCAGACAGGTAGCCATTCCAAAGGAGAACCTGCAGTTCTTTCGCTCTGAACCTGTAGAGGTACTTAGCTCCCTGACAGTGGCTGAATCCAGCAGCATTCTAGGGGAGCTGTGGTGGGACAAGCCTAAAATTGTCTTGCTCAGACCCAAATTTAAGTTAGGAACTTGCAGAGCTAAGACCAAGAACTTAGTGCTCATACTTCATTCATCCTGGTTCAAGCTGTTTTGGGAGAACTGAAAGCTTGCAGATCCTTAGCCTGTGCTGTCTCTAAGATCTTTGACTATCACAATACTCATTAATTACCCTGAGAAAGCAGTGGCAGGACAGAAGAAGACACAAAACAGGCCTAGATTCAATCCAGACATTCCTTCCAGATGTGTGCATAGCTTGGCCCTGACTCAAATTCCAAAGTCAGGAATGATCAAACAAATGAAAAAAAAAAGACTCCAACTATAAAGAGCTATTGTGAGAATAAAGACACTGCTGACACAAACTGAGGGAAAAAATTGCTCCAAAACCTCTACAAGCAAAGCCTCAAAGAAAACTATAGCTTGGGCAAAAATTCAACTAGAATTCTTAGAAGGAATGAAGCAAAATTTAAAAGAAAGAGTTAATAATGATTTTATAAATAAAATAAAAGAAAAAAGAATTGGAAAAGAAATGAGAGTACTAGAGGAACAACTTAAAAAAAGAAATGAGAATTATAGAAGAATTGGAAAGAGAATTAGCAGCTTGAAACAAGAGGTATAAAAAACTACCAAACGACAGAATCTTTGGAAATTATAATGGACCAAAAATAAGTTAATGATTCCATAAGACAACAGTAAATATTTAAATAAAGTCACAAGACAGAAAAAATAGAAGAAAATCTAAGTAACTCATCAGAAACAACCGATGTGGAAAACAGATCATGGAGAGATAATTTAATAATCACTGGACTACTTGAAAAGCATGACCAAGAAAAGGACTTAGACAATATTTCAAGAAATCATAAAAGAAAACTACCCAGATGTCTTAGAACTGGAAGGTAAAGTGAAAATAGAAAAAAAAATCCACAAGTCATCACTTCTTGAAAGAAACCCCAAAATGAACCCTCTCCCCAGAAATATTATAACCAAAACTCAGAGCTTCCAGATCAATGGAAAAATACTAAGTCGTCAAAAAGTAAGAATTTGACTACCAAGGAGCTATAGTCAGGGTGAGAGAAGTTTTAGCAGCCACTAATATAAGAGGAGTGGAGAGCTTGAAATATGATTTTCCAAAAAGCAAAAGATCTAGGCTTAAAACAAGAATAACCTAGCAAAACCAAGTATAATCCTGACAGGTGAAAAATGAGTATTTGATGAAATAGAGGATTTCAAGCATTCCTGATGAAAAGACCATAGCTGAGTAGAAACTTTGAAATATAAACACGTGTTAATGTTACTGAAAGAGTAGATATTCAAGCAGAGGATGAATAACTATTTGTAGAGATCTTGTGGGAGAACTTTATCTTATCCATTGATCAAAAATTCAGTTATTCCATCTTTTGTAAGAAGCTTTTTCTCTATCCCCTTAATGCCTTCTCTCTGAGATTACTGCTATATACCCTGTATGTATTTCATATTACATAGTTGTTTGCATGTTGTCACACCCATTAGAATCTGAGCTCCTTGGGGGCAGGAATTGTTTTAGTCTTTCTTTTTTATCTCCAGTGCTTAGCCCAGGGCCTAGTTTCCTTTCATCTCTAGGATTCTATGGTTCTTTGAGAGGAAATTGAACTAAGCAGGATAAAAAGAAGCAGGGCAGTAGCAATTGAGGAGTATTTTGTAATTTTACCTTATTAATCTGGTTTACTTGTGTGCCATTTGATTAAGGATTTCAGTTGCATCTCACAAAGAAGAATTCCAAAAAAATTTTAAGCAATTGTATTGTCATTGAAAAAAATATATTGCCTACTTGGTGACTACTTTGAAGGATAAAACTCATTTAGATGTAAATAATACTTATGTTTGGGCTGGTTGGCCTTACTACTGTATAGTCCCATCTTATATTCTATTCTTAAGTTTGTCTATGGAAAGTAAAAAGCTATGTTGTAGTGATCGGTTTTTTTAGTCCTCTATTCATTATGCATGATTTGTGGTTGAAATAAAAAGATTTAATTTTGTGGAGTCAGGATCTAATTCAGTTCCATGTTGTGTTTCCATTGAATGCTATTCAAGTCACAGGTTTGCACACCATACTTCTAGTCTCCTAAAGTTCATAAACTTGGTATTATCCTTGACTTCTCATTCTCACTTCTCATATGCAGTCGGTTGATAAAAATTGCCAATTCTACATTCACAACTTTTCTTGAAACCAACCCCTTTTTGCTTTTCTTACAGCCCCCACATTAAGATCCTTATCTCCTCTTGCCTAGATTATGATCTCCTTGTCTCATATCTCTCCCTATGAATTTTAAATCTCCAAAGTGCTGCCAAAGTATTTTTCCTTAAGTACAGAGCTGACCATACAACTCCCCTATTCGATTAATTCCAATTGCTTCCTGTTATGTGAAGGATAAAATGTAAACTCTTCTGTTTACTTTTTAAAGTCTCTTACAACCTGGCCCTATCCGATCTTTTCACCCTCATTTGACATTATTCTCCCTCCTGAACTTTTTGATCTAGCCAAACAACTTGACTTCTTTTGTTCTCTTACACAGCACTCTATTTCCCATTTCTGTGCCTTTGCCATGGCAGCCTCACAGATTTAGAACATGAGCCCTCTTTCCTTCTTTCTCATAGAGTTCCCTTTCTTATTTTTAAGATGTAGCTCAAGATACATCTTCTGCATGAAACCTTTTGCTCAGGTCTTTCCTGATCCCCTCCACTAGCTATTGCTCTCCCTAAGTACTTTGTATTTAAGTATAAAGATTAAGTATATTTGTATTTATTCACCTTATATTGATTCTCTGTGTGTGTGCACGCGCATGCATGTGTGCTCACTCATACACACATGTTGTTCTCACCATTACAATGTAAATTTATTATGAGTAGGGATTGGTAGATTGTTTTGTTCTTTATACTTGTGTCCCAGTGTCTAGCATAGTCCCTGGTACACATTAGGTGCTTAATGGATGCTTTTTGATTGGCTGATTTCAGGCTTTTTAGTATTATGAAGCAACAAATAGTATTTTTAAAAAAGTTAATTTTGGTTATCCTATCTAATTCTTATCCATATCTTTCCATAGATTTTTCATAAAGGATTTGTTCAACATACATGTATAGTTTCCTCTGGTTCTTTTAATTTCTTGGGGTTGCCACTGTAAAACATACTTTGTCCATTTGTTTTTTCCTTCTCACTTTTCCAGTCATACTGGTCTTGAATGGTTTTTAGTGTCACTTTACATGAATATTTCTTTATTGCCTATGTTTTACTGACAGCCAAAATTCACTAAGCGTCTTACTGTTAAATTTTTAGTTACTTAGAATTGACTCAGGCTTTTGGTGTTCCATGATGATACCTTATGATTTTAAATAAATGTAACTAGTTATTGTGTTGTCCTCCTAATCATATTTTATATCATGTAGCTATATATAATTTAATCTTTATTAAACTTCGTGACTATTTAATAACAAGTTGTATATCAGATCAGGAATATGATCCTATTGGTCTGTGGGAAAGTAAACTTAAATCATTTTTGTCTTTAGATACATTTTCCTAAGAATGTAACATTCCATAAATGTAAAGAATGCAGCTATTGGGAAGTGCATTAGGTAACAAAGTTCT